TTCAGCATAGGTGGGGGTGGGGGTAACTTTTTATTTTTTTTACATTTTCATCCATAATAATATTACTTTTCAAATATGCTAGTATCAATGTCCAAGTAGTTGAGAATCTGCAATGATTTGAGACTTGCTATTTAATTGTCTCAATTATACTGTTAAAATAACATTATATGTGTCGCTCAAAAGGTTCAAAGTCCACAAACTGTTCTTTTGTAGCCATTTACATCAGGCATTAGATAGACCACTGTAACACTGCTATGAAAAGTAACTCTTCAAAATAACTTTAGCACTCATCTTAGCAGGAAAGTTGTAGGTTTCTAAATTAGTATTGGCCCCAGTAAGCAAGGAGGCCAAAGGAGCAGCTTTCTAACAAAGATTTAAGGATCAAGTGGCCTTTGTTACTCTGGCAACCTGCATGTTATAAAGCCATAAAGGTGTATCATGTCCTGAGCACAACTGATCAGAGAGTTGTCACTTGAACGAAGGGGACTGTCATGCATGATCGATTTGACTCAGTGAGCTTCAAGCTGCAATGCTTTCTATTTTATTCATATTTTCCCATTTTGTGATAGCTTTGACTAAATTAGGAGGAAATCCCTGGTCTACTTTGAGACTTTTGTTTGACTGTATGTTGCTCAGTGTAATACGACAGGACTGCTCATATCTATACTCATCTTCCTTGTGCTTTTTTAAATAATAGAATGTCCCAATAGAACTGAAGTGAACAAGTTTACCGGAATAGGTTTTTTCTTGAGATACTGCATTATGTTGGCATCACTGAGATGGTGTACAGTCTCTGTCAACTATGCAATATCATGAGAATGCATTAAAAAGGGTTCTAACAACACCCATTTGGTATTTGTTTACATTAACGGACGCTTCCATTTAAACCAGAACAATAAGGAAGGAGTGATATAGTTAGCGTGAAAATAATGGGCTTCCTTGTCCTGGAAAAGACTTCCCAGTGGATCTGAACTCAGAATGCATTTTTTAACTGACAAAAGGAAGTGAAGATGTATGATCATTAATGTCTATGTTTACCAAACATCATACATTAGTGAATAATTAAACTTATATTATATTCAGAAACAAACAAATTATTTTACTAAAATCGATTTGTAGATTCTTATAGGCTGTCAAATTTTTTATATATATATCAATACTGCAGCTGTACAGCTGTCAAGTTTACCATAACCTTAAGAACTTACTCCTGTTTTTCTTCTGCTTTAATTAGAAGCACAAGGATTCATCCCGATTCTCTTGTGTCCTGTCCTTTTGATGAATGACTGGCCACACATAAAACTTTCTGTCACGTATCTTAGGAACAAGCAACATATTCAAACATAGTAATCTTGCCGAACAACCACTTACACCGTTTACTGATGGTACAGAACCCCCTGAGGAACCGACAATGAATCAGATGTGTTCAAATCAATGGATTAGATGTGTTTCATAGAGTCTATTATTGAGAACATTTGAGATATGAGACAATGAGCATCATAAAAGAAGAATGACAGCACTAGTACGCTATTTGATAAATTTCAGGGAACTTCCATTTCACAATTATTTTTGTTCCTGTTTCCTCATTTTACTTCCTGTGATACATCAATAACCAGTAACAACTGACGCATTGTATTTAAATACATGTTGTAGGTAAGATCACTTGACTTTGAGAGTAAAGCTTAAATCAATACCTGCTTATACTATTTGGAAAACTCCTCTCCTCCAACTCAATCATGTTCCAATCATATTACATGTTTCTTAATTGCTAACACACTATAATTGATTCAGTTGGCACAATTTCCCTAACCATTCATTCAGTTCTCAAAACAAAGACACATTTCTCAAAACTCTAAACACGTTTCACCTGTTTTCACACACATTCCAATTTACTTTCAACAAAAGTCTACATAAAATACATGATACGTTTTGCTCAAATAAACAGGTTTGAAAAAGTGCTTCAACTAACTCTTATTATTAAGTCTCCCTGAAAGGTCATGTTTCAGTACCTACTATAAAAACCCATGACATGTTCTGCATGTTAAACATCTATTCTTTTAACTGGACAATAAAATATTTTCATATGCTGCACATTTTCCAAGTTCTGTTTCTCATTCTTGGAACAATGCCGGACAGCTATCTCTCATAATGATTTGCCTGCCTATCACAATACTTGTTTGGATTCTCTCATATTTTCATAAGTATATAATGGAAAGAGTTCTCATGAAATATAAAGGCTAGGGCAAAATTACCTTCCTTGTACTTCTTGTGTGCTATTGTGACACAACCCAAAATAGTTGCATTTTAGTCTAGTAAAGATCAATAAAGCTGTAAATCCAGAATTAAATCACCAGCAACGAACTAACCTACATAACCTGCTGTGAGTAAAATAAAAGTAATGCATAATCTTAAATTGAATCAGGACTTATTTGGAACTTTTTTCCTGAAATGTTTTAGTTAGAATCCATCTAGTGATTTTATTTTATTTTATTTGTATTTTTCTGTAATGTTTGCAAAATGATGACATGGAATGTTCCCTTAATGTTTGCATGACCGAGAACGAAACATTTTTAAAACATTTCAAAAACTGGACATTATGAACGTTCCAAGAACATTCGTTGATAACATTTTTATTACTTAATGGGAATTTTAGTAAAACATATTTTTAGTAGAACATATTTTTGGAAGCTGGGATGGAAAAATCGAATATGTGGTATGTCCCTGTCAGTCTTTACAATGGTAAGGCAAACGCACACCTCTGGAGGTGCCAGTTAAGAGAAGAAACTCAAAGTAAAATTAACTGCACACTATACTGATACACTCAACACTGAATGACTTTGCGTTCCTGCACAGATTAGAGTTCAAACCCTCCTCATTACACAAACCCCATTTGTCTTTATGACCATTTGAAATGCTAACAATATGGTTGCCTCAGCTCTAGAACTCTTTACCCTCTTATATAGTCTGAATGCCAGCACAGATCAGTCTTTATCACACAGTAAATGACACATCAGGGGAAGCTTTTGATTAGCTTTCAATGAAGTGTGTAGAATGTTCAGAAGATGAGAGATTAGACCTGGAAGGCCAAAGATATTCTCATTACATGATGTTCTGATCTGGAGGCCTCTATAGGAGGTGCAATATCCCTATATGGAAACTGTCTCGTAAAATTACTGTTTTTATGTGTTTATTATACATAGGTGCCTTAAGAAGAAAATGACAAGGAAATATGTTCCAATAGAAGAAATTATGAACCAACAACTATTCAAGCTGTTTGTTTTGCTGACATTTTGCTGTGGCATGTTAGTTGACTCGGAGTCTTGGCATGGCTACATTTTATCTGTTGGAGCTTGGAGTGTTCACAGTCGTTCTTTTTATCACTGCTGGTTAAACAAAAGGCCTATGTTGCCATCCCGTCCTTGGCAATCCACACATTTTCCAAAGTGATAAGAAGGAAGGGAGTGTCTGTAGCTACTTGATACAAGCGAAGGAGTTTGAGCACTAAATGTCAAGACATTCTTCTTTAAAATAGTATCAAACAGAGCGTTTCCATTGGAGATATGAGCACTCCCCACCCTTATTGTGACAGTCTTAATGAGTTTTTGAAATGAATCAGAACAATAAAGCTTTGACGTCAGCCTCTTTTCATATTGGTTTCCTTTCCATGGTTTTAATTTTTCATATTTGTTATTGGGGTTTACTCACGTTTCATCGTGGAGTCTGCAAACATCAAATATGACTGTTAAGTTGACATCTGCAGATATGCTTTAGTTCAAAGCAGGAGCCCTTTTATAGCCTCATAAAATACATATCTTATTTGAAGGCTTGAGTTAATTTTATGAAAAAGAATTTGTAAAATGTTTCACAATAAGGTGTGCTATAATTGTCCAACTTAACTGTATGTGCATCAGTATATGGCCGATGTGACGATATAGATTAAAAGATATGGTAATAACTCCTCCTGTATTTCTGAATATAACATAATGTGATAAAAATTCAGAATTAAGTGTTTCCGTGATAAAGTGATGGAATAAAATATGAAAAGGTTACACACACACACACACACACACACATACACACACACACACACAGGTATTCCATCATTGGGATATTTTTATACTTTACAAACTATATTTTCTATCCCCTTACCATAACCCTACCCCTAAACCGATCAGTCTTTATCACACAGTAAATGACACATCAGGAGACACTTTTGATTAAATTTAAATGAAGAAAATAACAAGGAAGTAAGTTCCATCAGAACAAATTATGAACCAACAACTATTCAAGCTGTTTGTTTTGCTGACACTTTGCTGTGGCATGTTAGCTGACACTGAGATCTGGCACAGCTAAGTTTGATCTATTGGAGCTTGGAGTGTTCAAGTCAGAACACAAAACCTTCTGCATTTTTCTTTGTTGTTGTTGTTTTAATTTTCACACTCGTTTCCCTGGCAATTCATTTAAATTCTGAGAGGTCTTTAGTCCTGATGGATTTTCTGACTTCACTTCCATCACTAATGTTATTGCAAATAAACTGCACATTGATGCAAATGCTCCAAACTGATGCAAATAAAGCAACACCTAAGCACCCCATATAGTAAGTCTAGCTTAGAACATTTAAAAATAGGAAGTTAACCATTGATTTCAATAAAAGAGTCCTTGTTAAATGGCATTTTCTGAACAGACCCATGACGTAAAAACCAAATGTGTGCCACAGGATCTAATATTATATTTTTAAAACCTACAATAGGTACTAACACTACCACTACTTACTGTTGTTTTCATTCCTAACTGTGATTTTGATAAAAAAATAAAAAAATAAAAAAATAAATGGGTTATATCACGAGGGTTATTTGTTAAGATTATTAATAAATACCTGTGTTTCTTAATGTTGGGTGTGTTGGAGAAAAATAAATGAATGTGCCATACTGATTTTAAGAGTCCTGTTTCGCAATCTAGCCCAAGTATCCTCCCCCCTGCAGCCGTATTTAACTCGCTGCCTCTTTGAAGCCACCTGTAGCGGATCTCTATCCTCCAAAGGAAATAAACCTCCGAAAGCCACCGAGTTAACGGAACTAAAGCTCTTGACACGGAAGACGTCTTCTGTTTTCGTTTTTTTTTTTGCATTATCAAGTAACTTTTATTATTATTATTATTTGTATGAACGACATTTAAATAGAGAACTATGTTACTGACGCATCGACTATTCCTATTAATATTAATCTCGACTTCAGGTAAGTCTGCAATCTGAGTGTGTTTGTGTGTGCTGATGGGTTTATTCCTATAGATATACAATAAGTAGTCTGTATTTGAAAATAAATTTTATTTTGTAGATTAACCCACTGGTAATGATTTGATTTGTGCCGTGACCCACTTATGTTTTAAGGACCATGGACAGTCTCGAGTGTTAAAACTCCACAACTACATTTTAGTTTTATATTAATGCTCGTCTGGTGTTTATAAGTGTTTGTAAGAGACAAAACTTTCGCCTGGCAACACCAAACAAAACGTGAGGCACATATGAATGATCCGGAAGACTTTGAAACGTGGAAGCGTTGTCCTTAGCTAACTCACCGCTAATATTTGTCACCCAAATGTACATTTAAGGCTCTAAAACTAGTTGCTGAAGCAATGAAATTAAATAAAATATAAATGAAAGAGCACTTCGACTTGATTTCATGTGAACATTTTATATGGCTAATTTAAATAGTCTTATATGGTCAGTTTGTCCCTCTGAAAAAGCTCTGTGGCAGATATAACTGCCACATTTAGGCGTAATAATGAAAGGGTCTATTATTACTTTATTACTATGTTTATATATATATATATATATATATATATCTTTCTCACATAAATCATGATCACATGCAAATATGTCATTGGTCACAGTTGTGGGGAAAAATGTTTCAATGGGAAACATTTTGAATAACTAACTGAATGGTTCACATTATAAAATTGTAGGTCTCAAATTAATGTTACATTAAACTAAACGATAGTAATAATGAAAATGCATTTATTCTTGGATTATTATTCTCCACAATACACTATTGTCTGGAAAAAAAGAAAAGAAAAAGAAAGTTAATTTATTGTTTGTAACTTTCTGTTCTTACTGGATCTTTTAGTTCTTAGTGACTGATTGAGCCCTTTTTGACACTTTTGACAGTTTCAGTGCTACAATGTTGTTGCATTTTGTGTGGTGTGAGGGTTAGTCTGTGGTGAGTCACTGTACCATGACTTTGAGACTCTCCGATGTTCATTCACGCACACACACACACTTGGGTGTGAGTGAGCACTCTTGGGATTGGCTATGTCACATCCTTTAGTTTAGTAGCTGCCATAGATATCAAATATCCTGTTTCATTCAAAATTTGTGATTTTGTGTTGCAGCTCTGATTTTGATCTTGCAGCCTTAATTTGACATTCACTGATCACAAACTGATACATTTACTTCATACATTTCATTTAAATTTCAAATGATAAATGATCATTATGGCAGACATGAGTCCTAGTTAGACACATAATAAACTGGATATATATGGCACCACAGTATGTACCATCTGTTGCCTCAGGGCATGTTTGTGTTTCTAATAAAGTAAGTCCTACTGTGTGTGTGTGTGTGTGTGTGTGTGTGTGTAGTTCCATGAGTGCAGTAGAAGAATAGCCTGTGGGTATGTCCTGTCTTTATGTCTGGCACCAAGTCCAGCTGTGTCCCACTGGTGGACCTGTCAAAAACAGAAAGCAAGGGAAAGAGAGAATGACAGGATGGCAAAAAGATGGAAATATGTCATGTGTGAGGGAAATGACAAACCTGTGTGTGTGAGAGAGATAATATATAAAATATGGGATTAAAAGTATCCTTCATACACTGTAGGAATACTCTTTTTGAGTAATCATTTGAAATGACTAATCATTAGAAATACAGATTCATTTATGAAAGAAACAAGTGACCATATGTTCTCAGAAAAAAAGGTACAGAACTGTCACTGGGGCGGTACCCTTTCAAAAGCTCCTAATATGTACCATATGTACCAATTAGTTAGTAATATGTACTTTTAAAGTACCTATAGGGACTATCGCACCAGAATAGTTCCTATTAGCTTAAATACCTGCTTCTTGGCATGTTCGCACTGCAGAAACTGCGTATGTTTTTCGTTGTAGGAATGCCTGTGGGGGACTAAATTAGCTCCTACTTCAGAGTAGGGTCAGCACAATAGGAACAACCAGTGATGTAAGTGGATGTTGACTGGCCTAACACATGCCATATAAAACACCTCCATTTTAAAAAGCAGTGTAAACATACAGTTTACATATACTTACTCCACGAACATGGAAAATAGTGATAGATGGACCGACACGTAAGTCCAGACCGCCCTGGTGGCTAGTTCCTATAATTACTCAGAGCAAAACCCCTAATGTATACCATTTAAGTGGTAAATTAGTTACAGGTATAAGGTATGAATGAGACATTGACTCATTTTCTAAACCAATTCATTCGAAAACACAGAATCATTCGTTACCAAAACAAAGACCACTAAAGTGTGCTGCTAATTGCTCTGATTTAGCTTTGTTTGTGACTTTCTTTGTTTGTTAGTGGACATAGTAGCCAGCAGTATTGTGTCTAAAATGTAAGTACTATTACATACAAACTTCTTGTTTATTGAACTGTTGAAGCAAATTCATTCAATTCTGCTGCCTCCTTGATACTCTAGTATGTTGTCAGAAACAGACCTGGTGTTGTTGCTATTTTTAATGTGATGTTTTTTATACGTAATAAGTTAAATTATGTTATTGGATCAGCTGAGGTCTGATTATGCGGGGCTGGGAGACGGAGGATTGTGGAATAAGGCCTTTGTTTCAGAGCGAGCTCTAATCCAGGCAAAGTGCTGTAATGCTAATCTGGGATAAAGAAGCTCTCAAACACAACCAATATGGTTAATGAATGCTGTTTGTTTTGTAAATTAAGATTCAACTAAAATTTACCTACTAAAATTTTAAGATAAATACCAATTTTTCACTGCATACAAAAATATATAGTTTATTTTGCTATTTCTGTCTCTTCTCTTCTCTTCTCTTCTCTTCTCTCTCTTCTGTTTTTGAGAGGTTGTAAATCTGCCCCGTTTAATTGGACAGTACAGGCTCACTGTGCTTTAATTGGATATGATGATTGAGTGTGAGTTTGTCTAGTTCGTACTAGCGCAGAAGTGCTTCTCCAGGGAACCATCTGTTACCTAAGAGCCCTTTAGAGCTTTGTAAGCCTTCTCTTCTGTTTTTGAGATTAGAGGTTGTAAATCTGCCCCGTTTAATTGGACAGTACAGGCTCACTGTGCTTTAATTGGATATGATGATTGAGTGTGAGTTTGTCTAGTTCGTACTAGCGCAGAAGTGCTTCTCCAGGGAACCATCTGTTACCTAAGAGCCCTTTAGAGCTTTGTAAGCCTTTGTAAGAGAGAGTAAGGGAGAGTATATGGCATTATAATGGCTTGTTGTGTGTACTAATGGCAAAATCAACACTAGTTTTAGACAGGAAGGGGAAGTGTGGATAAGGAACCTTAAGCGAGAGGAACTTAATTATTTAAAACAAGCATGTAGCTTAAGTGCTATCAAAACCAAAAATATTAGGCTATAACTAGATACTAAAGAAAATTTGAGTGCTTTGTGCATATGAAAAAATCCCACTACAGTGTTAATGTGTTGTGAATGGATGCCAAGATGTTGCTAAGAGGCTTATAATGCTTCCTTAGTTTGTTAGCATGGTGGGGTTGTTAGCATGTTGCTACGTGGTTTCTGGGGTGTTGGCTGCTGGTCCAAATTAAAAGTACATCAGTCTGATTACTTTTTATTAACAAGCCATGGGATTTTAGTTATCATACATGGCTATAGCATGTTCCTAACTTAAGGTTAGCAGTGTTCTTTAAATAGTAATATTAATAGTGATGATGTTACTTAATATTGTTATTTTAATTTATCTCAAGGCTCTCTCACAGAAGTCAGTAATGTATTATTTATATAATAATAATAATTATTATTATTACTATTATTATTTAGGTAACACTGTCTGCAGTTAAATATTAACTTGTTTCATGAAGCACTTTTGTTTTTAGATCACAAAAGTCTTTATATTGTGAAGTAGTTCTAGAGCGTGCACCAGGAACTCTAAACAGAGGTCACATAGCTCCAAATGAGATAAAGCCATGTGAAGGAGGAACAGACGGAGTATGGGAGAGTATGTCTGTGCCATTAGAGAGAGAAAAGAAAGATAAGATAGAGGAACAATAATGTCACGGCTGAGTATGTAACAATATTAGAGAGGAACGGTAGCTAAATACTGAACTCACACAAGTTTCGGTGACCTCTTACATCTGCTTGTATAAAAGTACGGCAGATCGGGAATCTGTCTTCCTCTCTATAGGGAACTGTAAACTATTTTGGCCATGTCACTGTATATTTAAAAATCGTACACAGCTGCCTGTGTTATACTACATTTTTATACTACAAAACTAATAGGTAAATTTTTATGACCCTCTTTTAGATGGCTTCTTTTTATTCCAGCCTATAGCAGACATTCTTAAATACATCAAAGCATATTAATTTTAGCATCTAAGTTCCTCATTTTTAGAGGACAACTTAGAGACATGGTTCACCCAAAAATGAAAATTGTGTCATCATTTACTCACCATTATGACATTTCAAACCTATGTGAGTTTCTTTCCTCTGTGGAACATAGAAATATATTTAGAAAAATCACTCAGTTTTTTTTTTTTGTCCATACAAATTGAAGTCATTGGTAACCAAAACTGTCTGTAGGGTGAGCAAATGATGGCAGAATTGTAATTTTGTTTATTTTATCTTTAAGTAAAAAATGGCACAACATATGCCACCCCCACCCCATAAAACAGCATGCCAAGTAAAAATGTGTCTGGGGAAACATTGGTTGTAAAAAATAAGTGAAAACATCAGAGAACATTTTGTGTAGACTGACATACTGTTCTACTCACACCCTTCCTGTAAAAAAGGAAGGGTGTAAACAAACATCAGTTCTCTTTCCATTGTCGTTAAACATTATATGATTCTATATATTCAAATACACTTATTACCTGTTTTATCTGTAGCTGCGGAACAACAGAATGTCTGGCTCAAACAGCAAATGCTGCAAATGCATACATAATTTTATATTAAGTATATTTAACAGCTTGTCCGATAACCGAAACTCATCTTTGGCTATTGACTCGAATGAAGCCTATTTTCTTACTTAACAAAAGGCTTTAACTGAGCCACGGCGTGAATGGAGGAAATAATTAAACCGAGTGAAAGGGCAATCAGTGCGTGCCAGAGAAAGTCAGACATGGTCTTTGTGTTGGGTTACGAAAAATGAGAAGCTTGCGTATGTTTTAGAGAGCCAGGATGATAGTGAGTGTGCGTGTGTGTTTATCTGTGGGAGGTGGAGGTGAAAGCAGTTCGCAGTTGTTAGGTTTTCCTGCCGCCTGGCATCAAGTTTGCTGCTTTGAAGCAGAGAGCCACGACTGCAGAAGATTCCAGCCTCAGGGCATCTCAGATCTGCCTGTCAACCCCCACATTTAACTCTCCCTCACACACACATAACCCATCATATTTAGTCTTTCTTACACTGTCTACTCCTCAGTGTGTACGTTCTGTCTAAAACAAATCATTGGCTTTATCTAGTGGGTGTGTTTCTGTGTGAGAGGGAGTGAGACAAGCTCCAAGGTCATTTTATACCTGCCACACACACACACATTGGTTGAGAAATAGAGGTCTTACTGTACATAGCAATAGTGGAATTTGGGTAGAGGACAGGGTGTTGAGACATCAGCTACTCAGGTAACAGATCAGAAGCAACCCGAATGAATGCTTACTGTGAGCGTGTGGTTGAATTCTAGGGTGACCCTTAAAAATGTATCATGTGAGTGCACTCAGCAGGCTAGGAGTCTGTATTTAGTTGACTAATAACTTAAACTGACCTTAAAGTTGTTGACCCTTAGTGCCACACCTCTTATTTGATATTTTTTAGAATGCTTAATGAGCCAGTTGCATAATGTTAAGACGGTGTCTTAAGAGCTAGTTTGACCAACTAGCAGTAGACAAGGTTTAATTCAATTAAAATTAGACCAATCTTTTTGTAAATAAATTTGAAGTTACAACTAGTCTTGAAGAAAAAAATTACACTATGAATTGACAGTCCTGTTGTTAATTAAAAAAAGTCTTTGTATTCTTAAATCAAAATGTATGACTTTCTTTTTCCATTGTCGTCAGTTAGGATTTGACCAATAGCCAACTAGATATTGAAATAAACTCATGGCAAAGCTTCAAAGAATTGCTTATATATTTAAAATATTTTAAAATAAGACTCTGAACCTTTGCTGTCCAGGCCACTATTACCTTCATATAAGAGATCATATGTTTTTAGTAAATTCAATTAACTTGGTACATTCCAGTAAGATCACATCTGACCTGACCTCTGCTCTGGTCAGAAGTGAAGTCTTATGTGCTCTTTGACCCAGACAGCCTCATTTCTCATTTAGACTTAGTTTTCTGGTGCTGGTTTGAGCTAGAACTGGACCATACTTAACCCACTCATCTCGTTTGTGTCTGGAAAGGATTAGCAAGTAGGCTAATCACTCTAAGTCATGCACTGCCCTTGGGAAAACACACAAGATGTGGTATTAATGTCATGTTTAATACAGAAATGCAGGATTATAGGTTATTTTTAGCTGTATATATCTGTTTTATACTTTACATAAAATGTGCATATATACAGTGGGTACGGAAAGTATTCAGACCCCCTTAAATTTTTCACTCTTTGTTATATTGTAGCCATTTGCTAAAATCATTTAAGTTAATTTTTTTTCCTCATTAATGTACACACAGGTCAATGCCATGTTGGTATTCGATACTTGAAATTATGTAATTTTTTGGGAATATCAGTTATGTTTTCACTTTTTGTCCTCAGAATGTGATAAACTATGAAGAGAAACAGATGTTTCTAATTTGAATGTAGTGCCTCTAAGTCTGTGGATCTTTACCTTTAAGCAATGCTGCCTTAAATCCACAGGAAATGTGAACATGTATCATCATTTGCAAAAAACATGGATCGCTTGAGACATGGCCCATGCACTGATATGTATTCTCCATCTAAAGGGATCCATTAAACCAGATTTACCTTTACAAAGGTCTCTCAACATGGATGACATTCAAAGCATTATAGAAATTTTTGTAAGACTACTTTGTTTCAATATAACTGATTTAACATTTTATAACTGAGCTACATTCATAAATGAGAATTATGCTCACATTTGTATTAACCTTTTGTCATCCACTAAGCATGTATAAATGTGACTTTATTGCTAGGTAAACTGTGATTCAAAGAAAGCCTATGTGTGTGTGTGTAGGTGTGCGGAAATTTTTTTAATAAATAATTGGCCAGTTATGCAAATAGCATGAGAGTTCTTAATTTCAATGTCTTTCTTTCTTTGTCAGTGTTTGGATTTCTGACTAATTTCAAAAGCAAATAATAAAGTAATATTAGAAGCATGACATCTGTATGTGTGTGTCCTAGAGTCCACTTTTCCTTGTTAATCTATTGTTCTTTTGTGTGTGGTTGCTAAGTAATAAGACAAGCAGCTTATAACTGCAGGTGACAGTCACTCTATATGACTGTTTGTTCTCGGAAACTAATAAAATTACTAACAGGATGTGATGCATGTTTTGTGTAGTTGTTGTGTTTGACAGTAAATAGTACCTTATTATTGCTGAATTAGTAACTGGGTGAGCCTGATTGGATTACATGCAACAGATTTACAGGAACTGAATGAAGATTGAAACCTGTGTTCCAAGATTGTATGCATTTGTTGTATATATGTATCTCATCCCATCTGAGCAATTTTGTCTGTGTTTTCACAGCTGTAATAAGCACACCAGGTTCATCTAGCACAGATTCAACCGATAATGCGACAGACAGCCCAATCAATGCTACCTCTACTACTACTGTTGGTAAGGGCACGTTCACTACTTACAACACAAAACATCAGTTAGTTCAGTCAATACAATTTTTAATTCCAAATCCTCTGTTACAGATGAAGTTATCCTATCAGACATTATTATATATACTAACACATACACAAACCTCAGCTACTTCAATAAATTATTCTTGTTAATATGCTGTTGCTTCAGAAGTTACATGAAGCAGAACTGTTTCCTCATAATATATTTGATCTTTCTTATAAGTGAAAACAATTTAGTAAAACATTATTTCGTTTTCTCATTCAAGTCATTCAAAGCTCAGTCATTCTGTCCTCAGACTTGTCACTCAAGCTTTGCATACGCTTCTGAAAACAATTTAACCAGAACCCCTCTGCATTGTTCAATGTGCACCATTGCTTATTCAAGAACCAAATCCTTTCTCTTGTTGTTTTACTGTCTTTTGTGTGTTTAATGAAGTGAGGATGGGCTTTAAGCATTTTAGAGGAACAGCTACTACAGCTATATAGAATTACTGTCAGAGGCTATTTACACTTAGCGAAAACGCGATATATGCTATGGATTCTGCAATGGATTCTATTTACACTATGTAAAAAATAACAGTATTTTTGTTTTGTTTTTTGGAATAAGTGTAAATAGTAGTTTGATGCTATTCTTAGTACAAATAGTGGCAGATATTTGCACTTCAATATTGTACTACATTATAGGTGTGAATTTATTTTATTTAGGACAATAAAGCACTCCCTACACCTACTCCTAAACCTTACCCGATAAACACTTATCATTAAATACCCATGGCTAACTTTAGTTCCACTTTTCAAATATTTCCTTCATTTTTATTGAAAATAAACGCCTTTCCAATCTGATATGTGATGGGTAAAACAGGAGAAGAAAGAGTTTGGTAAAAGGCGGATTCTGGATCGATTGCGTCCAAAGTCACTGTCACACTCTTTACTGCCTACTCTACCAATACTGCTATTTCATTGGCATCTTTTGTCATGATGTCAAGCCAAGCCAAGCCCAACCACACAGTTGTGGGCAGAGTTAGTCCAAATAGCCTCTGCCAACAAGGCGAGCTATTTGCACTTAGTGTAAATAGACACTGTGATAAATATTAGCATACTTTATTTTAAGAATTCAGTTCAAAGACCTTTTGTTTGGACAACATAGGTCATTTTTATTTATCTACAGCTTAATTCAGATATTTGTGACCCTGGACCACAAAACCAGTCATAAGGGTCATTTGTTTTAAATTGAGATTAATACATCATCTGAAAGCGGAATAAATAAGCTTTCTATTGATGTATGGTTTGTTAGGATAGGACAATATTTGGCCGAGATATACAACTATTTGAAAATCTGGAATTTGAGGGTGCAAAAAAAATCAAAATATTGAGAAAATCGCCTTTAAAGTTGTCCAAATGAAGTCCTTAGCAATGCATATTACTAATGATAATACCTTTTTGATATATTGATGGTAGGAAATTTACAAAATATCTTAATGGAACATGATCTTTACTTAATATCCTAATGATTTTTGGCATAAAAGAAAAATCTATAATTTTGACCCATACAATGTATTTTTGGCTATTGCTACAAATATACCGTGCTACTTATGACTGGTTTTGTGCTCCAGGGTCACATTTGTTCACTCAGTGAACTCAGTTTAGGTTGTTTTGCAACCTATGGCTGGTTCAATATGGAATATAGGATGTTGGGTTTAACCTAGCATAATCGTTTGATTTATGCTAATTCAACTTATACTGACTGATACCTCATCATCAGCTGGGTTTTATGCTGCATTTATACCTCAGACGTTGTATATCTTAGCTGGGAACGATGTCTGAGATGACTATATTCCAGTACAAAAATCAAGATGACCGCATCCATTGGTAGCAATACCAGTCTATAAAATACATAAAATGCATAATACCGTTACCGAAGTATCATGTCCACAGTTAGAGGTTGGATAGCACTGTGTGCACCACTGAGTTTCTTAAGACTAACAGAAGTGATAAGAAGCAATGTATTACTTTAGTTTCAGTTACTGTTGATGCGTTGGACAGCCATTTTGCATTTTGAATTTGAGGTTGTTGCGGTTCCTCAGAGTTGCAACTCTGACTTGAGGGGGTGCTCCAGTTAAAAGTTCCTATTAGGAAGTCGGAATTTCTGACTTCAGAGTATAAATGGAACACTTACCAGGTGGTGGAGGGGTGTATTGTTTCAACTGTCAGTGACAAAAAAATATATACGCACCTTCAGATTAAGTATGTCTAGCATTCATCTATTGTGCACTTATTTAGGTGTAACAGACTGAGACAAAAACAATTGTGAATGGCTGCATGACACATGCTCAGATTTTTCATTTTATGCTGTTTATCAAATCTTTATGCAATTATCTTTTTTTCTGTTTCTGATTATGTGTTTGTGGTCGTCAACAGCAGTAACAAGCATTCCATCTGAGAATACAACTGCACCATCCACAAACAATGCCACCACCCCACTGCTGTCAATGCATGCTGGTAATGTCACATCTCCACCTTTATCTACTCAAGGCAACGTGACAAGCTCGTCTACAGTTGCACCAGAAAATGCTACCAGTTCATCAGTGAGTACACCAGGAAATGCCACAGCTTCACCTGCACCTGTAACAACAGCAGCAGCCAACTCCACAAGTCCACTTGTACCTACACCGGAGAATGCTACAAACCATCCTGTAACTTCACCAGGCAACGCCACAACTACTCCTTTACCTGAGCCAGGCAACAGCACAACCCTACCCCAAACTACAAGAGGCAATGACACTACTTCTCCCATTAGCACACCAAGCAACAGCACAGCTTCACCAATTACAACACCAAGCAATGTCACAATTACAACACAGACTACATCAGGTAGTGCTACAACAGCAAACAATGCAACAACTCCACCCTTAACCACAGATATTTCAAATCTAACTACACCAGGGAATAATGCAACAGTAAATGTTACCATACCACCCCTAACTACACCAATAAATGCTACTGCACCACCTCCAACGACACCAGTAAATGCTACTGCACCACCCCTAACTACACCAGTAAATGCTACTGCACCACCTCCAACTACACCAGGGAACAATGCAACAGTAACTGCAACCACACCACCCATCACTACTCCAGTAAATGCAACTACACCACCTTCAAATACAGCAGGGAACAATGCAACAGTAAACGCTACCACACCACCCATAACTACACCAGTAAATGCTACCACACCACCTCTAACTACACCTGGGAATAATACAATAGTAAATGTTACCACACCACCAATGACTACACCAGTAAATGTTACTATGCCACCTTTAACTACACCAGAGAATAATGCAACAGCACATGCTACCACACCACCCATCACTACTCCAGTAAATGCTACTACACTACCTCTAACTACACCAGTAAATGCTACCACACCACCTCTAACTACACCAGTAAATGCTACTACACCATCCCTAACTACACCAGGAAACACTACAACAGGGAATGCCACCACACCACCCATGACTACACCAGTAAATGCTACTGCACCACTTCTAACTACACCAGGAAACAATGCAACAGGGAATGCCACCACACCACCCATGACTACACCAGTAAATGCTACTGCACCACTTCTAACTACACCAGGAAACAATGCAACAGGGAATGCCACCACACCACCCATCACTACACCAGTAAATGCTACAACACCACCCTTAACAACACCAGGGAACAATGCAACAGTACACACTACCACACAACCCATAACTACACCAGCAAATGCTACCACTCCACCTCTAACTACACCAGGAAACAATGCAACAGGGAATGCCACCACACCACCCATCACTACACCAGTAAATGCTACAACACCACCCCTAACTACACCAGGGAACAATGCAACAGTAAACGCTACCACACCACCCATAGCTACACCAGGAAATACTACAACAGGGAATGCTACGCCACCACCTCAGTCTACACCAGGAAATGCTACTACACCACCCATAACCAACTCAACGACTGGACCCACTGTTTCTACTACTAACCCAACTAACACTACAACCACGCCAGGTGTGTTTGAATTAATGTGTTGTGTGATTGTATATTGCGGAGTAATTCTGAGTAATGAGGAGTTCACAGTTACATTTAGTAATTTCTCCCATTCATAAACACTGAGTGACATCTTTTTTCTTTTAGCTACCTGTCCTGCAGTGCCCTGCCCACCACTCAGTGCCTGTGTGAACTCCATCTGTCAGTGTGTGACAGGAACTATTCCTTTAAATAATGCCTGTGTGGAAAGTACGTATCTGATGCCAAGCCTCTTGGCAACTTATCCTCTTTCTTAGACTGGACCATGGGACATTACAAAAATCCTTCTATATTTAATTGTTTATATAAATCATATGATTACAGTGATTATTAGGAAGAATCTTTGTAGTAAAAAGACTAACAAGGCAAATAGTGTAAGCACTTTAACACCCCCACTCTCTGTCCTCACATCCTGTGTTTATTTCCAGCTAAAACCTTCTCTAGTACACTGCGGGTGAACCGCACTTTTGAAGAGGCTATGAACAATCCACAATCACCTGAATTCCAGAAAACTGCTAAAGAGATCATTGCTGCGGTAGGTCACAAACTTACATTACAATCTGGTCTATTAACTTTATTTAAACTTTTATTAAAATACATATAATTTCTTTTAGCTATATTCAGAGTAAAATTTGAATTATTGCTCTATTGCCTTGGAGCCTAAATCATTATTCTTTCTTCCTTTTCGCCATAGGTAAATGAAGCTCTGCGTAATCAGCCAAACTACATTAACAGCACAGTAATTAGGTTGATGTAAGTGACCCTTTGAAACACTTCTTAACCACAGCTCTTACACATATGTATCATATTTGCAGAATACTAATCTCTGTGTAAATACTTACAGGTCTGGCAGTATAGTGGCCACAGTAAACAGTTTTTTTGAGCCCAATTCTCCAGTCACACAGGAATTGGTTACATCTGCCATGAATGCTGCTATAAGTGATTGTGAGAAGACAAACTGTGGCATTCTTGCTAATGCTCAATACACTGGTGAGTGACTTGAAAAGATGTATTAAATAAGCTGTGATATGAAAACTGTGAAACAGACGTATTAATGTCCACATAGAAAATCATACAATACATTATACTAGTTTCACAAATATACTGCTCTCACATAATTATATAAAACAATTTTCGTATTAAATCATTCTTTATTTACATTTACTTTACTTGACAAACATTTAAAACATTAATTCCTGTTTAGGCAACAAATTACCTTAAGAGCATGAAGTATACGTTGTTCATTTGTTCATTTCCACAAAGATTGATAAAGCAACTTCTCTTGCAGTTGTATTAAACCGCAAAAGATTGTTCCTCAAATTAGAATACAATACAGTGCCAGACATGGGGTGTTTAGAGATGTTTAGCCATGACTCTGGCCATGTTTTGTAATTGTGAACGTTTTAGATCACATAAAAGATCTTTCTATATCCCTAAAATATACTGGAGTTTTCTATATGAAATACTTTCAAGATGCTGATATCACTACTAACTATGCTACCATCTACAACTAATTAATTATTGCTAAACAATTTTATTAAATATTGAATTGCTATGCACATTTGTTTGCAATTATAATGCATGTAGCTTTTTATGACTTCATATTAAATAAGAGAATACATTAAATATTTATATATTTAGAAATTAATTTGTTACATCGCAGGACCATTTAAAATTAACCAGTGAAGGTAAACATGATGAAAACTTAAAGGACCTAAGATAAACACTTTCCGTCATGCATCTATCTAAACAACTACCTACTGTCTCTTTATTTATAGCAACCAATCTGTGTGAGCAAGATCCTCCTCCTTGTGATTTTAACACTACATTGTGTGAGGCCAAAGATGGGACAACTGATTGTATCTGCAAACCTGGCCATATATCTAGTCTTTACCAGACCAGAAGCTGTAGAGGTGAGCATGTGTCTTTATTACCCCATTTGTGTGGACTACCATGTGTGTTTGTGTGTGCATATCATAATCATCCGTGACCTCCGTGAAGAATGAAAACAATTAAGAAATAAAAAATGTGTTAAATAAATAATTAATACCGTTTCATGGTGAGAAAGATGTGTTTTTGGCTGGTAGATTTTCTTGATTCAGCAACTATTGGCAGGTATAGGAATCACACAAATCTGAAACAATACATGGTTTAGTTGATTGTTTTTACTGTCTGCTCTACCATCTTTCTATGATTCAGTCTATTTACTCTCTATTCTTTTCACAGTTTGCCCTAGTGGCTACAAAGCGCAGGCGGACACGTGTGTTCGGTGAGAACGATTTCATTTCTTTGTTCTTAATAACACACTCTCATTTTAGTAGAACAAAGTCTGTGTGTAATTTATCTGTTCCAGTAATGGGAACCACAGTCATACCTCAAACATGATGGTTCAGAAATACTAAATGTCTTCCTTGTTGTCACAAACTGAACTGCTCTATTCAATGGTGGAGTGTATGATCAGTTTAGGAGTGTATGATCAGTTTATTTGTAATAGAAACTACTGCCCCCTTGTGTCAAGGCAATATTGCAACAGTCACATAACTGCAGATAGGTGTCGGCATGTTCATGTCCTTTTATTTTTTTTAAACAGATGTCCATTTGGCTATTCTGGATTTAACTGTGATGACTGTAAGATATTATTATTACAGTATTTCTTGATTTTTAACCATTAATGTAATAATTTTGTGTGTATGTTTGTGTCTAATGACCTTGCATCTCTGTGTAGCCTCTTTGTTGGCTCTAGTGGTGGTGGCGTGTGTGTTAGGGGGAATTCTGCTCATTGTGATTTTGGCTGTACTCATCTACATCTGTGTGACTCGTAGGTGAGTGTTCATGAGACGTCAGGTATAGGACGTGCATTTGAATGTCTCTATGCGAGACTTTTATGCTCGTTTATGGATGTACATTTCCCACTTGTTAACAATTTGTGTGTTTATTGTTTATTTCACAGCAAGAAGAAGTCAAGCAGCAATTATTACAACAGCCCGTACCCTGCTGAGGAGTTCCAGACCACGTGGCCCTCTCAGGACATCGCCCATATTCCACGAGCTACTGTGACATCTAGTTCCAGCATTGATGCCACTGGCAACAGTCTAGAGATGTCTGAAGGGCCAGGCAAGAAAGGCCACAGTAATGGATTGGTGAGTACCTCCTTTCAGTCAAAACTTCACAAATAATTAATAACCAGTTAAACCCTTTGGAGCAGTTACACTTATCTTTAACTTACAGTGGGTTTTGTACTGTTTCAAAGACAAGCTTATGTGTGGACTTTTTTCATTGAATAACCATTGTAAAATTAAATTATGCATATACACTACTGTTCAAAATTTGGGGGCAAGTTTCCACAAAAAACAATTATCAGCACAGCTGTTTTCAACATTGATAATAAAAAATGTTTCTTGAGAAAATCTACATATTAGATCATTTGACTGAAAATTCAGCTTTGCCATCACAGGAATAAATTAAACTGTAAAATATATTCAAACAGAAAGCATTTATTTTAAAGGAGACATATTATGCCCCTTTTTACAATATGTAATATAAGTCTCTGGTGTCCCCAGAATGTGTCTGTGAAGTTTCAGCTCAAAATACTCCACAGATCATTTATTATATCATTTTGAAAATGCCTATTTTGAGTGGGAGCAGAAACACGCTGTTTTTCGTGCCTGTCTCTTTAAATGCAAATGAGCTGCTGCCTTAATTGCAGACCCTTTTCCAGAATAGAGCTGCGCCATTACAGCTCATCCCTGCTAAAAATATCTGTTTTGGTTCTGATCATCATGTTTATCGTGCTGAAATCATGTGTTTTAAACCATATTAGTTTAAACTTCTGATATACGGTTTTCTGAGTGCACACACGGACAGAAAGCGACTGAGTACAGCATGTGAGTACTAAACTAAGTTCTCATTCACACACACGTTTATGTTAAAAACACACATGGGTTACAAAAACAGTCGGTTACGTCTGTGAAGGTAAACCAAAGGGAAATAAATCACATGTTTATTTTAGAACTGTGTGGCAGCAGCAATATACAGTAAATAAATCAATAAATCCACTGCTCTGTTGTCTCCTCTGAGGCTGGGACTCTAAACAGTGTTCTGTGCTCGTCTGTGCAGCCAAACACAGAACAGTTAGCATGTTTTGCTTAAACTTTCACCATGGCATTAGAGCTGGTACACTGTTGTCGCTTGTGAAAACACAATGACGGCGCCATGGGTGGAAACTTACAGATTAAGGGGCGGTAATATTATAATGAGATCCCTTTGCGACGTCACTAGGGGAGCGATCGTTTTTCAGACGCTTGCAGAAAAAGGCTTACCAAAACAAAGTGACTGGGTTAATCTTTTTCACATTTCCTTGGTTAGTAGATGCACCAGGGACCTGATTATAGCACTTAAAACCTGGTAAAGTCAGATTTTCATGATATGTCACCTTTAAATTGTAATAATTTTTCACATTTTTACTGTATGTTTTGATCAAATATGCAGCCTAGGTGAGCATAAGTGATGTCTTTCAAAAACCATAAAAAATTCTTACAGACCCCAAACTTTTACAGTAGTGTAAAAATTATCTCATTTATATATTATATTCATATTATTATTTTATATTGCTTAATTTATATTATGAATTATACCTCTTTTAAAAATAATTTTAAGAAATGATCCCACTGTAAGTTAGTTGAAATTCTTCCGTTAACCCTGCATGTGCCCGGTGTATCTTATACTAACACTAATAATAGTATCAGCCATATGACATATATATCACACCACAAACAAATACAACATATTTTGTTCAATCAGACCCTTGTCCATTTGCAAATCTTTACTCTGCCTGCCAAGCTGAACTCTAATGACATACGCCTAATTGATACAAAGATTGGATAATGCTAATTTTCTTCAAAGTATTTCTTGACTGAATGACTGAAGTCCATTATGAGCAGATGTAGTCCTAACAATGCCACATATAAAGAGGGTCTGTTGCATTAGTGAAACAATTGCATTTGTGGTTAGCGGAAAGCTAACAGTAGGACATAGTACTTGGGAAACTGGGCGATCCCTCAGTAGATTTCATAACTTTAATGTATGAAATCAGAATTTTTTCATAATGGATGTACAAGTTTTGTGATGGGTTAGCTCATAAACAAACCTCTTTGTGTGTTTGTGCACGTATTTGTGGTCGTTGTGTTGTGTATGTGGTATCCCGTATATGGGCTTGATTTCTCCTCACTCCAAACACTATGACTATAGAAGATTGGAGGAAAGGTAAGTCACCGACTCCTGGTGTGTTCTGGTGTGTCGTCAGGGACTGTAAAAGGCAGAGATGGTCCATGTATATGGACCATATATGAATGTACAACATACCGGCTGTGGTTCCGCCTTAAACTTAAAAGAGCCAATTGCATTATTGAAATGCTCAATATGATGGCTGTAGGAATGGAAGTCCCATCTCACAGTTAAAATAGACAGCTAAAATGTTTTTAAATAAATGCTATTTTTTAAACTTTCTATTTGTCAAAGAATCCTGAAAAAAAAAAAAAAAATTATTAAGCAGAACAATTGTTTTTAACATTGATAATACTACGAAATGTTTCTTGAGCATCAAATCAGCAGAATTAGAATGATTTCTGAAGGATCATGTGACACTGAAGACACTGAAAGCTGAAAATTCAGCTTTGTCATCACAGGAATAAATTACATTTGAAAATAATAATATTTTAGACTAATAATATTTAATAATATTACTGTATCAAATAAATGCAGCCTTGGTGAGCATAAGATACTTATTTCAAAAAGCATTAAAAAAAATCTTACAGACCCCAAACTTTTGATATTTGTTATTAATTTCCATAAATTGGGGTCTTTCACGGCTTGTATGGTTGAAAACTGCGTTACAAATATGGCCGCCAAGTGAACTGACTTGCTTTAAAAGGACCTTGGTCTCCAAGTTCTTTCATGTAAAGGAATATTCTGGGTTAAATACAACTAAAAGTTTAAGTGTGTACCTTCTGCAGCATTAGCATTACCAAAATAATGAACGTAGCACCAACAACACCTTTGTCATCACTTACGTATTTAACCTAGAAGGAATATTCCTTTATTTTGCTTTTATTTCCTCTTTTCTCTTTGTGACTGGCATGATCACTTCCCATTGCCGTATATACACTCTGATTCTGAAGTGTATTACTGTTATGTCCGGGATGAGATCTTGATTTTGATCTCTGGTTTGACCTGTTTGCATGCCATCATAAGCTTTGCATGCTTTTTTTAAGCAGGTTATTGTGTTTTTCCTGCATGCTGTTATTATAAGATGAGATGTGCTGAGAGAATGAAGCGTTGTGGGTTGTGTTTACCTGTACGTGGCTAACATGGACTATCATTTCTTCTGCAGTCGGGCTCGTATGACCTCAGAACAGATGGCATGAGGACCTTTAAAGACATAAACCCCACACGCTACTCTTATCTGGTGGGTCATGAAAACCCCTACTTCATACAAGGAGATGAGAAGAAATGAGGAAAACAGCAGAGAAAGCCAGTGGACAAGAAAAGAGTGCAATAGCGACATGGATTATAAAAAAGACCTTGGATCAAAATGTTTCAGGAACGTTAACACTGTCAGAACCATACAGCTGATCACAGACTCAAAGTATATACACAAACAGAATTTGAGAGATACATTTATATATATATATATATATATATATATATATACAAATTTTACAGTTTTTATTCCAAATCCCTTTCACCCAGGATAAAATGCTCTTTTCTTAAAAGTGCATTGATGATTGGGTTTCTTCTACCACAAGCTTGATAAACGTGTCCTGTGTATGACAATGTGAGATGAATGCTTAACCACTCATCTGTTGATATCTGTATTTTTTGTCACTTCTTATGTTTTGTCTGCACATTTCATATTCAGAGTTTTGTTATCTGACAGAGATCATGCATATGTTACTGTGGTTTTCAACTCAAAATACGTTATTATAAAGGATGTAACATTAAACCATATTTTGGCATATTTTATTTAAATCTCTCATCTGTGGAAGCGATAAGGGCAGAATATCCAGTAGTTCTGATGCATCGAATCTATATTCTGACAGTAACTGCACTTTGTAGGAGAGAGCATGTCTTGTGTCTATGTGTGTGTGTGTGTGTTTTAAGTTTTATCTATCACAAAGACAGAACTGGTACATTCAGTTATGAATTTTTGGTTGATATCTCCTCCAAAGAATTAATTTATTTTATGCCAGGACAATGCATGCCACCAGAAATTGATCTCTGTGCCTGACTGTGATGTTGTCTTTTGAATAGGAGAATTATGCAATGACGAGGAGTTAACAACCATGTCTCCTCTGTAGTCGTGCCAATAATTATATTTATTTAAATCAGAACATGACATTGTTTACTCAGCTGTCTGTTTGCTGCATATATATGCTTATTTATGTGTAACTGGGATATTTTCTATCTGTACATAAAGCTTTTGTAAAAAAAAAAAAAAAAAAAAGCTCCTTGTATAAAGTGATTCATCTTGTTCTGTATAATGAAAGGAAATAAATTAATAATAAAGATGTAGTTATCTACAATTTGTCCAGTTGTTCTTGTATATGTCTCCACACGTGCATATACACATTCAATTTTTTTTTCAGTATTGGTTTATTACCTTTTTTTAAATACATAAGCGCAGTAGTAAAACATAGCATTTGTTTTATTTGATTACAATCATTATAAAATCACATTTTCAAATCCATGAAATCCATTGTTAAATTCTGAAAAGTTATAAATTAGTCAGAGGAAATCTGAAGCCTCTTGAATATAAATTTTAAATAAAAAGACTGTCCATATAAGAGCAAATAACACACTATAAAAATTGAGGTTTAGATATACTGGGAAAACAACCATTTAAAAAGATGACCTTTTATGCCCCATGAGAGAGTGTGTGTGTGTGTGTGTGTGTGACAGAGGGGCTCTTGTAAATCTTTTCCTTAGAGTCAGATCAGGTGTAACAGATGTCTTTGAATTAATTAGACAGAAGCCCCAAAACAAGCCTTTCAACCCTTGACGACCCCTGCACCCATTAATGAGGGGCTCTAAATGAAGAACATCCATATTATTTATGCAAGGCTACTGTGTCAAAGAGGACCACATGGCCCTATCAAAAACACACACTGGGTTACACACACGCCTGCTATTAATCTAAGAGTTCATGTTTAAATTTACTAGCAAGTCTATCCACATTTGTATTTAATTTATTCACATTGTATTTAGTATATTCATGTTATAATCATAACACGTTCATGTCAAAACATTTCGGGTGGCTTAGTTTAATCACTCATATCTGAGCTCAAACATACCGTGGGCTTACTTGTAAAAAATGCTTCTTTTTTAAAATTCAATGCAATATTTCATTACAAGTTACACTGTAAGAAAAAAAAAGTAGAAAAAGCGAATAATATCCTAGCAAAAAATTGCCAGTATTTTTCCTAAGGAATAGTTCACCCAAAAATTATCATTTTGTCATCTTTTACTCACCCTCATAGCCTTCCAAACCTGTACGAGTTTCTTTCTTATGTTGAACATAAAGAAGATATTTTGAAGAATGCTGGTAATAAAACAGTTGCTGGTCCCCATTGACTTCCATTTCTTTCCCTATGGAAGTCAATGGGGACCAACAACTGTTTGGTTCTTCAAAATATCTTCTTTTGTGTTCAACATGAAACTCATACAGGTTTGGAACAGCATGAGGGTGAGTAAAAAATGACAAAAAAATGACATTTTTGGTGAACTATTCCCTAAAGTTTAAGGACATTTCCAAACACAAAAAACCGCAACGCGAAATAATTCCTGTGAAAATACAGAAAATAATCTCTGTCTGTCTATATTTTTAAACACGATGAGGATTCTAAAACTTTCTGTTCATGCTCAGGTTTAATTTAAGGTTTAATTTGAGAAAAATCTGATTTTTGATAAGGTCTTATATTTTGAACCTTTTTGTACCTAAGATGAAACCCATACTACAGCTCAGGACCACACTAAACCCAGCTCTGGACTGTGGATTAATCCATCTACATGTACAACAAAGAAACAGCAACAATCTCACATACACTCCCATGTAAATACATTGCATGCCCATGGAAGAGAGAGGAGGGGGATGGGGAGGGCCTCTACCTCCATGTCTTCCATCTGACTGTGAGTGAATGAGTGCTCAGGCTTTCAGAGCTGCTCAAGTGAACACAATAATCTAAAGAGAGAAAAAAAGACACAGAGGGTGGGAGGGGGAAGAGATGCCCACTAGAAGCAACACGGCCCCTGCATGTCTTACAACACCCACCTGCTTCTGTCTCTGGTGACATAATGACAGCAGAGGGAGAGAGAGAGAGAGAGAGAGAGAGAGAGAGAGAGAAGCTGGAGGATACTGGATGAACGGAGGAGAGAAGGGGAGGAGGTAGGACGGGAGGGAGGATGGAAAGGGGAGGGGGTTTGTGTATGTGTGTGGAAGAGCGAGAACCACAGAGAGACAGAAAGAGAAGCGACAGACGGCAGCCGGAGGAAGAGTCACAGTGAAAGAATCAGCAAGGCAACCGTCTGAGAACGACAGATCCAGAGACAGAAAAAAGAGAGGAAGACGGAGTCAGAGGTAGGCTGCTCCTTTCTATTACCTTCATTTGCTTAATTATACCAGAGCTAAACACAAAGCCAGGCCCAGCGTGCACTGCACGAGATCATTGTGTGTGTTTTGGTGATTATCTCATCTAGAGGGTCTTTATTTTCTCTCTGAGCCAATCAGTGGCATATGTGCAAATCAGCACTGCACTGCAGATGGAGAAGAGAGAGATTCAGAGGAAGAGAAAGACTAACGGAGAGAGAGGGAGAGTAAGGATGCATTAGGCATCTGAGCAGAGAGAAAGAGAAAGTACTGATGCTTTCACAACAGTGCTGAAGAAAACGTGCCGACCTGTTTCCATTATTGATAGTAAGAGTCCATCAGTTTGTTCATTGTTTGTCTGAGGTGCTTGTGTTCCTGCAACAATGTAAGTGAAACAGAATTAGGTCACTGCGAGTTGAATTCTAATGGTCTGGATCTGTTTAGAAGTGGGTGCAGGGTTAGAGAAACGCTGCTTGTACCACAAAACAAAAAACACTTCATGACAACAGGCATTTAAACTATTAATGACTTTGTGCTGGCAAAATAATGATTCTAACATGATGTAGCCTCCAGGCAACATATATTCCTCTAAGATCAATGCAAGTTTTGAAGATGGTCCAGGAAAGCATTCAAACAGATGTCTACAAATGTCTTGCTGTCTTTCTAATCTCTAACAAAAGGCGATTCTGTGTGATAGCTGACCTTTCACCCCTGGGTCAGCTTATTATTCATAAATCCCATTTGGCACTAATATAAAATCTTTCTCAATGTGTCATCAACATGCATCACTTTTATCTTTAGAGGTGCTAAAGAATAAGTCACATTTGTTGGTATAATATTATTATAGAGATATCAGTGGTTGTGAGCAAACTTCCAATGGAGTCTTGGACTTAAAATTATTATGTTTGAAAACATAAAAAAACCACATTAAATTAAAAAAAAAAAATTCACTTCAATAACTAGTATTTTAAAATGCAGAATCAAAATCTGTTCTAGATAGAGGACTGATTCGTAATTTGTTACACTGAGTTATTTGAAGTTATTCGACACAAGGAGAAGGTTTATTTCAGACCTCACATGCATTACCCAGATTAATCACCAGTACTGGATCAAAATTCATCTTGAGGGATATAAAAACTCCTCTAACAATCCTGTACATGCTTTTATCTCTGTCTGTGAAAACCTATCCATTTCTTAGATAACCTGATTGAAATCCCTCTGCCATTATAACAGTTTAAAGGAGCCTTATCCCATGCCAAGCAGCTCTCCACCTGCTTTCAGCTGTGTAAGCAAACAACTCATTATGATTATTTGCAATAACCTTCCCATCAGTCACAGATACCGTCAGTTATCTTACAGACCCAAAAAAATCAAATCTGGAAGTTTGTAGCGTTTAAGTGAACCTGCAACCTGCGAATGACTATTAACTGCTAATTTATTTATTTTAGGGGTCAGTAAGATTTTTTTGTAAAGGAATTAATTCATTTATTCAGCAAGGATGCATTAAATTGGCCAAAAGTGACAGTAAAGTCATTAATAATGTTACGACAGATTTCTATTTCAAATAAATGAAGTTTTTTAAAACTTTCTATTCATCAAAGAATAAAAGCATGTATCATGGTTTTCACAAAAACATTAAGCATCACAACTGTTTTCAACATTGATAATAATAAGAAATGTTTCTTGAGCAGCAAATCAGCCCTAAACGTTTGAAAGGTGTATATCCCATTCAACTTTCCTGTTTTATCAATAAAGGTCAACACAAAAAATGTGCACTTGTCAAGCAATTGTCTTCCACTGTTGAAAAAAAACGAAATGTCCCGTCCTGAACTCACACCATTGGTTAAGCAAGAAGCTGACATGTCAAACTGCTGCTCAAACAATGCTTAATTGTTTGATGGTGCAACAGAGCCAGTGTTTCACTTTTCAGAGGAATTAACCTAAAACAGGGACTGGAGAAAGTATTTTACAAAAATTACACAATTTCCATTTAAAGTTAGCTCAATATAAGAAGAATCTAAAGTTTAGAGTGAAAGGTGTGTTGAAACTGGACTGTTTTCAAATGATTTTCAAGATGTTAAATCATATTCAAATGGATGAACTCTGTGCAGGTGGCCTATAGAAACACAAGCTTCCCTATAGTTTACATATTTCGCTCTGGTTCCCTTCAGAGTCTCAGAGAGTAAATATCCTCCAGGCGGCAGGCAGACAGCACCAATCACCTAACGACATTAAATGTGTTTTATACACCCTTAAAGTTTTTAACAAACAGATTGGATTTGATGTTCTGAAATTCAGCACACATCCGCACGAATTAGGAAGGCCAAACAGATGCACTATCTGCTGAAGACTTCCTGACCTAAACAGACCTTCAAAGCCAATAAGGTTGCAGAGAGGTCTTTGTCAGTATCTCTCTCTCTCTCTGTCTCTCTGTCTGTCTGTCTGTGTGTGTGTGTGTGTGTGTGTGTGTGTGTGTGGTTTTCTTAGATCCAAGCCAAAACTGAAAAGGGCTCTAAGCTGTTCTGGACAGAAATAGCACACATGATGACGTGTTCATGCTTTCATGCCAAAGCTCATATTTGTCTTTTTAGGTTTATGAACAAGCCATGCAACATTAACTCTGCACTGGCTTTCTACGTAAGATATTATTCTTGATAAAATACAGCAATACTACTATAACATACATGAACAAATCATTTATACATACCATTTTAACAGGATGGGGTGATTAAAAAATGAAATTAATACTTTTATTTAACATGGACATATTAAATTGGTCAAAAGTTACCATGTAAAGACATTTAGAATGACTACTTTAAATAAAGATGTTCTTCTGAACTTCCTTTTATCAAATAATCCTTAAATGTATCAAAACAAAATGTGTGTATTTTAGGAATAAATTATTTTAATTCATTTTATAAATTACTTTCCAAAATCATAAAAACCTGGAATTTCTCTACTGATAGACTGTAGATTTATCATTTATTCAATGTTTGTCTAACACTAGTCCAGAACCTATTTTTTCTCAATATGAACTTGGCTGTGCTGTTTATACCAACATTCACACTCTCTCTCTCTCTCTCTCTCTCTCACACACACACACACACACACACAAAACCTTTTAAAACACACCTCATATGCCCCTGTGTAGTGCTTCCACTAAGCTCTTTTACCAATTACATCATTACCAGAACAGCATAAAGTGGGAATGACATCATCCTTTAAAGCAAAAGTAATTGTGGATTCCTGTCTGTGGTAGCCATGATGGGATTATTAGTTTATCTCTCACATTCACTCTCCTGATAATTCTGAGAATTGAATGCAGCTCTATGGTATTACAGGTGCCTGCAGCTATATATCATCACCTTTTTTAATTATTTTTACAGTGAGTAAATCGATCTGTGATTTGCCAAATTATACAGTGTGTATATATATATATATATATATATATGACCCTGAATATCTGTTACATTTTGATGACAAAACACTTATAAGTAATTACAGACTGCCACGCAACATTATATTACAGTTAACACAGGAACTGCAACCAGCATTACAGAGACCAACAAAGCGTCACGGAGCATTACCGGTTATAGTGCAAGTGACTAATGCCTTACACTGTGTCTACACCATAGATTTGCTTCTGTAATACGAATTTCTGAAATATCCTAATTTAACATATCACATCTTAAAGGGGTCATATGATACGATTTAAATTTTTCCTTTCTCTTTGGAGTGTTACAAGCTCTTGGTAGCCAATCACAGCACACCTTGCTTATCAGACCGATGAGCTTTGTAAAAATCAACACGTTTCAGAAAGGCGGGGCATAGAGGAGAAACAATAATGTACAGTATGTGGAAAATAATGTGTTTTTTTAACCTTAAACCGCATAAACACATTTCATTACACCAAATACACAAAATAATGTTCTTTTTAGCAACATCATATGACCTAAGATAAGAAACTTTCTGTAATACGCCCCCAGGTTCCTAAATAAGCAAGCTTTTTCATATACATAGAATAACAAAAATTTCCTCTGCTTCATTTGTCCTCATTGCTCAGTCTTGACATAAGTAAATTTGATTAATATAGCACATTTAAACACATCGATGCTGAACAGAGAAAACTGTCCATATCCATCTACATCAGCACCATCAGTATTCATTCTAGACTCTCAGTCTATGTGAAGTGTGAAACTCCACTGCAGCTTATTTCTAACTGGTTCAATGGATAAAACTCACCCCATGTTACAACACTCCTTATGTTGAGTGTTACGTGGAAGAGAAACTGCAGCAGTTTCTATTTTTTGTCTCTCGCCTCATTTCTAGATGGATCAGTGCTTGTGGAAATGCTATTTCTGTTTCACTAGGCACTCTGAAAGCATGGCATCTGTGAATTGCTTTGGGAGAGTGTGTGTGAGGGAGAGTTAGAGTAAAAGAGGAAGTTGTGGCAGCACTCTGAGCTTTGTGTTCCTGCTGTGGCCTCTTGGCACCCACAGATCAGCATCACTCATCTCTTCCAGTCACCCTCTCCCCTCTATTCTAACACTTTATCATGGCTGAATATTCGTTAATCATATAAGGCAATGCACACTCGGTAAAACGATATGATATATAAGTCACATGTTTAAAAGTGATGGGATGTTGATGTACTGATCTACTGCAGGCATTTAAACTGATTACTAGAGCCTTGAGGAAACCAGCAAGAGAGATAGATGGTAGATGAACAATACATTAAAAAAAACATAACGGAGAACTAACAGGTAATTATTATAAAAAAATTAGTGAACCACTGGTGTCATGGGCCTTTGTGAGTTTATTTCTGGTCATCTGTGACATGTTTTTGTGTGTCTCAATCCTGACACCCTGGTCGATTTGGTTTTTGGGACATTTATCAATATTACACTCTATACAATCCAGACGGTTTCAAAGCAGATTCACATCAATAAATGGGTAACAGTGTTAATGTTTTAAGATCTAATTCAATTATAAGCAGCTCTACAGAAAATTCAAGTGTCAATATTCAGCTTAAAGGGGTCATATGATGCTGCTAAAAAGAACATTATTTTGTGTATTTGGTGTAATGAAATGTGTTTATGCGGTTTAAAGTAAAAAAAACACATTATTTTCCACATACTGTACATTATTGTTTCTCCTCTATGCCCCGCCTTTTTCAGTATTGATTAAATTCAGTAGCAGTTGCAAACTTGTCTTGTCTTGACAAAGGGTAATTTAATAGGTTGTTCAGAGGTTGTGCTAGTTTTAGAATATTTTTACTAATTTATTTAAATAAAAATCTGTTATGAAATATCTTTACAACGTCATATGAACACCCTTACGAAAATTAACTATGGTTTTACTACAAACAAAAAAAACAAAATAAAACATGGTTACTATAGTTAAACCATGGTAACCACAAATTAATCATGGTTTTGCTAGTTTAACCATGGTATTTGTAGAAAAACTGCGGTTATACAAATGGTAATACGCCAAAAAAAAAAGATGGTTACTACACTTGTACTACAATAAAACAATGGTTAATTTTCGTAAGGGCAGTCATTTAGTAGACACATCTCAGAAATCTCAGTTCGAATCGGACCTAAAAATAACATGCGGTTCAGTCAGAGAGTCAGTAGTAAACTAATTTACAGTACTGAACGATTCACTGACTCAGTAAAAAGAATCGGCTCATACGAGTCATTTGTTCACGAATTGAACATCACGGCTCGCGTTTTGTCCGCTATGCCTTCTGTAAACACGCGAACGCTACAATTATAATAAACTAACGCCATCTCGCGAGATGATGAAGCCTGATTAGACTTTAAGTCAGGGGTCACCAAACTTGGTCTTGGAGGGCCGGTGTCCTGCCGAGTTTAGCTCCAACTTGCCTCAACATACCTGCCTGGAAGTTTCAAGTAGGCCTATACCTAGTAAGACTTTGATTAGCTGGTTCAGGTGTGTTTGGGGTTGGAGCTAAACTCTACATGCCCGAATCTGGTGACCCCTGCTTTAAGCTACTGTTGCAAATGTCAGTACTTGGGGTACTGTAATCATGATTATTTCTTTTAGCTCAACCCCTTCCTGATCTATGAAAGAAGCCATGCCAGTCCTCTCTGCAGGAGCAGGTGCGCTGCACGTCCACCCCCACAAAAACACATATGTAGGCCTATATATATAGTAACAGTATTGACACTCACTGATCTCCTGTTTGCATGCAGGGTTGCATGAGACGCTTGCCCTGCTGACCTCACAGCTGCGTCCAGATGCCAATCACAAAGAGGACATGGTCTTCCTCAAGGATGTCTTCAGTGAGAGGAGTCTCAGCTACCTGATGAAGGTGTGTGTGTGTCATTAATGCAGGTTTTGCATTGAATTCACTTCATATATGCAGCATCATATATTATAAATTATTTACAGCATGCATCATTTACCTTAGCTTATTTTTTAAATGTATGCTGGAAATGTGTAAGAGACCAGTCATCTTCAGCTCTGTATGGGCATTGTGCCTGTATTTGCTAGATCCATGAGAAGTTGCGTCAGTATGAAAGGCAGAGCCCCACCCCAGTTCTCCACAGTGCTTCCACTCTGGCAGAAGATGTAAGTGCTGCAGTCTGTCATATCACATCACCATAGGCAAGATTAATGGTGTTTTACAATAATATATGAGAACAGAGGTTAATGGTATCTGGGGGGAATGAGGGAACCCTAAACCGTTTGACTCAGCAACTTTAGCAAAAGTAGAACTTACACTTCACTGAGAAAGTTAATTAAATTGTATAAGAATGTGTGACTCTAATTTAGCCATACTACAGGGACAATGTCCCTAGTTTCTTTTTTATTTTATAAAAAAAAATAATATAATAATAATATAATATTATAATAATAATATAAAAATAATCATTTATTTAATAAATAACAATTGATAAAAAGAAAGTGTACCACATTGTGAAACATAAGTAACCTGTATTTAATATTATAATGTTTAGAATAATTACTTATTTTTTGAAAGAAGCCTTTTATGCAATTATTTGATCACAATTTTAAAATAATTTTGATATTAATATTTTGAAATATTATTATAATTTAAAATAGTTGTTTTCTATTTAAGTAGATTTTGAATTATACCTTTTATTAGAATGATTACTAAAGTATCATGTCACACTGAAGAGTAATTCACAGGAATGAATTACATTTTAAAATAGATTAAAACAGTTGGAACTAAATTGTAATAATATTTCACAATATTTCTGTCTGCCTGTCTGTTTGTTTACTTAGTTGATCAAATAAATCCAGCCTTGTTGTGCATAAGATGTTTGTCTCAAAAACATAAAGGTTGTAATTATTCCAAATTTTTTTGACCTGTAGTGTATATAAACTGTAAAGATTTATAATATTTTTTTCAGTTCTTGGATTCAAAATGTTGTAGTAAGCTGTAGTGAAGTGTTATATTTGACAATATTATAAAGCTATTTTATAGCTTGTTAAATGCTTTGATTTCGTCTACCCTCACTGATTGGTAGGTGGCAGAGGAGCTGCAAAGTGGACCAATGAGTGCTGAGGAAAAAGAGCTGCTACATTTGCTGACATCACCACATCTCCAGGTACACTTTTGTTGTGAGACCTTCATGATAACTTAGTCAAAAACAAAATCTAGAAGCTCATATCCCTCCTGCTTGGTAGGCGGTTTTGTCAGTGCACGACACGGTGGCGCAGAAGAACTTTGACCCAGTGCTGCCTCCTCTGCCCGATGACTTTGAGGATGAGCTAGACGAGGAGTCTGTCAAGATTGTCCGCCTAGTCAAAAACAAAGAGCCACTGGTAAGAAAAAGAAACAATGCAAGTTGCACAAATACAGTGACCCTGAAAATATTAGGACACTTGAACCAGTTTTATTTTTTATATTATTTATATATTATTATAGTGTTTAGTAATATTTTGAAAAGCTTTTTTTTTGGTAGTCTTTTTTGTTGTAGTTTTAGTATTCTTTTGTACTTTTGTCATTTTATTATTATTATTATTATTTTTTATATTTTTATATATTTATTTATTGTCAGTTTTAGTAATTATTTAGTAATTTAAGTTTTTTTTTTGTTTTAATAAGCAAATAACAAAACTGACTTGAACAACATGTAGGAATGCAAATGATGCAAGAAAATGAATACGCTGTAAGTGTGAAAAGTGTCCAAATACGTTTTGGGTCACTAAATATGAAGACTTGTTTTTTTAAAAGAAAAGTTTAACAAGATTCAAAACAATTGGATCTATCAGCACCATCATTGTTTAGGTCATTGTTGTTTGGTGTTTCTCTGCAGTTCTTTTCTCTTTGTCTGTGTCTGTCTCTCAGGGTGCCACTATTCGGCGGGATGAGTCCACAGGGGCTGTGATTGTGGCTCGGATCATGAAAGGAGGGGCTGCAGACAGGAGTGGTGAGTGACACTTCAAACAATTTGTCTTCAATCTTGCGGCCTCATTTTACCCTATGCTGAAATCCATAATAATCGTAATGGAAAGCTATTTTACCAAATATTCTCCTGAAAATCTTTTTCAATTACCACTGAGTATATTAATGGAAAACCAGTGCAGTCTTCAAAGGTCCTATATTCATCTCTAAACCCATTGAAGTGTCTGAATATCCCTGCACCTCTACTGAATGTGCTAGATATGGTTATTTTTACCTCCTGTCTGCTGCAATGACACTCTGTCTGCTGCCCATCTGCGTGGTCAAAGAGAGTCTCCAGAGACCCAATCAAGGGAATCAAACAGACTCACTAACCACCTGACCACAGCTGTTGCCATGGGTATATGATGTGTGTGTGTGTGGTGGGAATTATCTTTTTGTCATTAAAAAAATCATTGAACTATGCCTATAAAGTGTATTATTACACACAGCAGTTACAGCTTGAACATGTGGTAGTGAATCTGTAAATCAGGTAGCCCTCCTCTCTCCACAGGTCTGGTGCATGTCGGTGATGAACTGAGAGAGGTCAACGGCAGCTCTGTAATGCACAAGGGACCAGATGAGATCAGTCAACTGCTGGTAATACTTCTCTCCTGGACCTTCTCCACATTCATTTGGCATAATTTAATTTAAAAAAAAATCCAAATCATAAAAGCATTTTAAGCTTGACACAATGCCTTAAAGGGGTCATATGATGTTGCTAAAAAGAACATTATTTTGTGTATTTGGTGTAATGAAATGTGTTTATGCGGTTTAAAGTAAAAAAAACACACATTATTATCCGAATACTGTACATTATTGTTTCTCCTCTATGCCCCGCCTTTCTGAAACGCGTCGATTTTTACAAAGCTCATCGGTCTGAAAAACGAGGTGTGCTCTGATTGGCCAGCTATCCAATGCATTGTGATTGGCCGAATACCTCAAGCGTGTTATAAAGAATATCTCTTTGGATTTGAGACTTTGGTCTTTGCAACTTTACAGATCTTCTTTATGCACCAAGAGCTTGTAACACTTCAAAGAGAAAGGAAAAATTTTAATCGCATCATATGACCCCTTTAAAGGGATAATTCACACAGAAATGCAAATCATTTACTGACATCATGTCTTTCTACTTTTGTTCTTGTCCTCCTGTATGATTGTTGTTCTTTTGTAGAACATAAAAGAAGATATTTAAAAAAAAATCTGTCTGTATGTCTATGTAAACAAATTTATATTATTAATATTATTATTATTAATATAGTTATATTATTTTAATTTGTTTTTTTTTTTATTTGAAATATTGATTAATTAGAATAGTTAATTAATTGCCATATCATATAATTATTTTTTTCCAAACAAGCAAACAAACAAAAAACTATTAATCCTAATAAAACCATACCATAATCATTTATGTTTATTGTCAGAATAACAGAAGTAATTGAACTGTTTTATTTTTTCTTAGTCTCAGTCACAAGGCTCTATCACACTGAAGATCATCCCAGCAATCCGAGAGGAGGACAAGCTGAAAGAGAGCAAGGTAATTGACTATAAAATGGGATAAAACATTGTAATTTATCAGTAATCAGTCCAGCATCTCTCCAGTTTTTGCCTTGTTCACTGAATTTACATCTCGTTCATACCATGTGTTTTCTTCAGGTCTACATGCGGGCGCTGTTTGATTACACTCCATTGGAGGACAAAGCCACACCGTGTCAGGAGGCAGGGCTTCCGTTTAAACGAGGAGACATCCTGCAGGTGGTCAGTCAGGATGATCAGACGTGGTGGCAGGCCAAGAGAGTGGCAGACTGCAACCTGCGTGCAGGACTCGTCCCATCCAAACAGTTTCAGGAGAGGTGGGACAAAACATCCATAAAACACACACCCTACTACCTCAAAGCTAGTCAACACATCAAATTAGGAGTTTATTGAGGCAAAAGTCATAGTTAATGGTTTTTTAATAGCGAGAATTGGATCATAAAATAAAGTGTGACCAAACAGGATGATTTAAAATGTTCTTTAAAGTAGAACTTGACATTATTACAAGGTACACCTTTAAAAAATGATCTTTAAATACACTGAAGTGACCTTTAATGTCATTAATATTATAATATCATAATGAAATTATGAAATTATTTCATTATAATATTATAATGAAAGTACAGTTTTTTTAAAATATACTTTTATGATTTGAAGTGCTCATTCAGTCCAATAAAGCATGCTTCTTTGGTTATTTTCCAACCCCGGCAAGCATTTTTTTTTAACACAAGATAACTTGGGTTTGTTAAAAAACAATTATCTGCAATATCAGCATGACTACAAAATTAGCTTCAGTGTGTTAAAAAGACAGTTTTATGTTTGTACATAATAGCGCCATTAAATGTTTTGTGAATCAGGTTTATACGATCAGTGTGGCTGCTCCACCATTGCAAACAGTCTCTCAAAGCTGTGTTTTCCTTTATTCTAAATCAATAAAATTAATTCTAAATTATTCTCCCTGTAGGCTTTATTAGATATAGATGGGCCAGCCTGCCTTTTTGTCACCTCTTTTATCTCAGCAGGGTGCATCTTAGCTGGATATACTCTCATGCTAAGAACGGGAGTATTTCTTTCTCACTGTTGAATTTGTTTGATCTCACTCAATAGTATATCTGATGGCTTCAGAGACAGGAATATCAAGTCAAACTAGTACAAAACATTTTTGTCAAGAGATTTGATGTTTTTGCACTGTTTGAAGTTCTCCCCATATGGTTTTTCCCCTCAGGCGGTTAGCCTACAGAATAAAAATGGGCTCCCTTCAAAGCTCCAAGTCTCCAAAAAAAGCTGTCTGTGAGTATTTCAGTAATTCTTCCTTCCTTACGGAAAACCCCTTCAGTTATTAATCAGTGTTGACTAACAGGAGGCATAATTTGCTGATGTGTGTGCTTGTGTGAAGTTGCCAGGTGATTATTGGGCTCCAACCAAGCGCTTCATGTTCACTAATCTAAAGCTGATTAGAGAACAGACACATCTACAGTTCAGCAACATGCGACAACACTCGCTCTCACAGACTCTCATCATGTGCATTAATTTATATCCCCTCCTCTTCTGCTTCTTCCTTTGTTACTCCATCTGTATGTGGGTCTTCACTGCTGGGCGCACTTTGGACTGCATGATGTGGGAATGATGGAATTTATGAAGCTCTATTTAATAAATAAACTCAGGGCCAGTTTTAGCAGTTTTCCCATTCCAAGTAAATGAAGTCTGCAGTTTTGGCTTCTTTTGTCATAATATATTTTCCTTTTTTGATTACTGCTGACACCAGATGACCAGGAATGTGATAAAGGTGGGTCTTCAAGGTCTGAGTTCACACATTCACCCTCAAATACACACAACACACATGTTGGTTCCACGGTGATTAGGACATTAGGCCAGTGTGTCACCTAATCTATGTTAATTCTTGGAAAGAGACAACTGCTGTTCTACTATAAACACACACACACACACACACACTTTCAATGAGAGAGAGGCTTCAATGTATGACACTTTCCAGGAATAAGGTACACTTTGATGGTCCATTACTTTTTTTTTTTTTTTAAAGCATTATAGGATCAAATCTCACAAAATGTATAATCTCATATAAAATTAACCCAGCATGACAAGTCACTAGTTTAATACAAATTTTGGCCCCTTTCTCACCTTAGAGGTGTTGACCTTCTTGAATCACTTCACTGAGTTCACACATTCACCCTCAAATACACACAACACACATGTTGGTTCCACGGTGATTAGGACATTAGGCCAGTGTGTCACCTAATCTATGTTAATTCTTGGAAAGAGACAACTGCTGTTCTACTATAAACACACACACACACACACACACACACTTTCACTGAGAGAGAGGCTTCAATGTATGACACTTTCCAGGAATAAGGTACACTTTGATGGTCCATTACTTTTTTTTTTTTTTTAAAGCATTATAGGATCAAATCTCACAAAATGTATAATCTCATATAAAATTAACCCAGCATGACAAGTCACTAGTTTAATACAAATTTTGGCCCCTTTCTCACCTTAGAGGTGTTGACCTTCTTGAATCACTTCATTATATAAAAAGTAAGATTTCATTTCATTTTGTTTAAAACATATCCAAACATTCATAAATCCCTTGTGTATAACTCAGGTCAGGTCCTATTTTGTACCCTAGTGGAAAGTGCTGTACATTCTTCTTCTTTTTCAAGAACTATCAAAACAGATCTGCGGTAGCAATAACATATTACAGTAGAGGTTCAAAACAGATAAAAAAAAACATATCTTTTTTTTCTGACATTATTCCATTTCCCATCTTTTCTCTTATCAAGTCCTTCCTTACTACACTGTCAACTAATGCTCTGAGATCTCAAACATCACTTCAACTCTTTCTCCTTCTATCCTTTTTCTATTCTCTTCTTAAAGGTGCACTCAGTAATAGTTATGCTTTATACTAAAATAAATGGTTTATAATCATGTACACTGACATGAGATGAAGACTCTAGTAACATCAGTAGCCTAAAAAAACTATCTATTCACTACTGTTCAAACTTTTGGCAAAGCATTATAGGATCAAATCTCACAAAATGTATAATCTCATATAAAATTAACCCAGCATGACAAGTCACTAGTTTAATACAAATTTTGGCCCCTTTCTCACCTTAGAGGTGTTGACCTTCTTGAATCACTTCATTATATAAAAAGTAAGATTTCATTTCATTTTGTTTAAAACATATCCAAACATTCATAAATCCCTTGTGTATAACTCAGGTCAGGTCCTATTTTGTACCCTAGTGGAAAGTGCTGTACATTCTTCTTCTTTTTCAAGAACTATCAAAACAGATCTGCGGTAGCAATAACATATTACAGTAGAGGTTCAAAACAGATAAAAAAAAACATATCTTTTTTTTCTGACATTATTCCATTTCCCATCTTTTCTCTTATCAAGTCCTTCCTTACTACACTGTCAACTAATGCTCTGAGATCTCAAACATCACTTCAACTCTTTCTCCTTCTATCCTTTTTCTATTCTCTTCTTAAAGGTGCACTCAGTAATAGTTATGCTTTATACTAAAATAAATGGTTTATAATCATGTACACTGACATGAGATGAAGACTCTAGTAACATCAGTAGCCTAAAAAAACTATCTATTCACTACTGTTCAAACTTTTGGAGTCGGTAAGATTTCTTTATGTTTTTGAAGTCTATTATGCTCACCAAGGGTGCACTTATTTGATCAAAAATACAGTAAAAAAAAAACAAATAAATAAAATAAATACAATGTGAAATATTATTACCATTTAAAATAACTGTTTTCTATTTGAATATATTTTAAAATGTATAATTAAATTTATTCCCGTGACACAAAGCTGAATTTTCAGCAGTTATTAATTAGTGTCACTCACTAAAGCAGTCTTCAGTGTCACATGATCCTTTAGAAATCATTCGAATATGCTGATTTGCTGCTCAAGAAACATTTTGTATTATTATCAATGTGAAAAAAAGGCTGCACAGTTCAATATTTTTGTGAAAACCTTGATAGCCTACATTATCTTTTAGGACTGCTAAATAGAACGTTTAACAGCATTAAACAGCATTTATATCTTTTGTAACTTTATAAATGTCTTCATTGTCACTTTTAATCGATTTAATGCATCCTTACTGAATAAAAGTAAATAACAATAAAAATAAATCTTACTGGCCCCAAACTGTTTCAACTGTAGCTAACCACCTCATGGGTGTCATGTTGAGATCAACATATTTTACAATGGCATCAGTAATTGACACCTCTTGCTTTTGCATAATACTACATTAAGAGGCAGTATAATTCCAGTACAACGGGCATTTTGGCCAGTACAAGAGAAACACAAAATTACTGAGTACACCACCTACAAATATTTTTCGTTTTCTTCCATATAATGTCTATAGCTCTCAGGTGATGTTATATTCGATTAGTTTGTTTTTAATCTTTATCACCTTTTCTCATGATCTTTTTCAATCTAAGGGCCTCTTTTCCCATTTACTGTAGGTTAGAAACACTCATTGTTTCCTTTGAGTCCCGCTCAACCACACAAGTGAATCCTAACATTTATACACTATCACACCATCATTTTCTTCCTGGCAAATAACAAACCCCTCGGTTGGCCACGGCCGCCACAGACTGCTGAAATACCTGCCGTCCATCCGCCTGCCCGCCTAACTGTTGAACCTGCTTGTGTAACTGTAGTTCTGCAGCCCTCCTTCCTCTCTCCTGGTCTCCTCTGCTCACTCCCTCTCTCCCTGCTTGCCTCCCTACAGAAGACTGTGACTGTGAGGGCTATTTCAATGGACAGTACATAGGTGAGAACCTGCATGCCATTGCCCACTCCTGTACCCAGTGCCTGCTAACTCTAACCTTCTGCCTGAGTGAGCTTCTATTGCTGCCTGCCTCTGTGCCAAGAGCTATGGCCGAGCCCTTGATGAGGGGAGGCCGGATTGGGGGGTTATTTGGCAGCACGAAGGGAATTTTAGGTCAGTCAGAATCTTTCACTGTGAGAAAACAGTGTTTGCAGTGGTGCATTGATGCCTTTGGAAGAGAAAGTGGAACCTGGTTGCTATTTTTGTTTACGCCTTTGATTTAGTATAGTAATAGAAAGAGTATGTGAGTGGAGCAAAACGACAGCAATTTCCCCTCAGTAATCACTCCACTCCAGCTCCTTTTATTCAGCAAGAGTGCATTAAATGAATCAAAAGTTACATTTATAATGTTACAAAAGATTTCTCTTTCAAATAAATGCTGTTCTTTTGAACTTTTTATTAATCAAAAATCCTGGAAGAAGAAAAAAAAAAAGGATTGTGTGACACTGAAGACTGGAGAAACGATGCTGAAAATTCAGCTTTGAAATCACAGGAATAAATTACAATTTAAAATATTTTCAATTAGAACACAGTTATTTTATATTGTAATAATATTTCACAATAGTACTTGTTTTACTGTATTTTTAATCAAATAAATGCAGCCTTGGTGAGCATATCTTTCAAAAACATTTTTAAAAAATCGTAATTTTTCCAAATTTTTTGACTGGTAGTTTATGTACTGTACGTGAAATAAGTGCAGTTTTTGTATCGTTGTGAGGAAAATAGATGTATGTAGAGTACACAATGGCGAAGAAGGGCAGAATTACCAACAAATGATCAATTTCACACACGTTTTTCACTTGTCCCATTTTTGTCATTAGTTTTCACAAAACATTTTGTCATTTTGATGAGTGCTTTTCTGATAATAAAATACATTATTACAAAATTAATTTAAAATAATATAATTGATATATTATTGTATCAGTATAGATTTTATTTATTTATTTTATTTTTGCTAATAGCCCATAATTACTGTTTTGCACTTGATGAGAATTGATGCTCAAATATAGCTGTGCGTTATGTCCATGATGGAGAGATATTGGAGTGGATTTGGATGGAATGAGAACATCAATGTGCCAACTTACAAATAAAACATTCATTGCTCTAGGCAAAATCATGCTCTGCACCACTCACATACCCTGATAATAAGAAGAGAGACAGAGTTTGTCATGCCTCTGAGTTAAAACTGTTAGCAACATGTCTGGCATGTTTCAAGTCTCATTAGTTAATGGGTGCTAATTTGAGGAGCTGTTAAAAGAGCGAAGAAAAGGAAGTGATATTCAGTTCATATAGTGTTAGATATTTCATTCACAGGCTATCACGCTATTTTCACAATGTGTAGCAGCTGTAGAAATCTGTGTCAGTAGGGACGACCAACAAGCTGACAGCTTTTCATCTGCATATCTTCACTTTCTCTCTGACCCTAGAAGTCTCTTTCTTATGATCTGTGAAGATGAGTTTTGTCCAAGTTTAGATACTGTGACTTTCTGTGGGTGGCGTGAATAAGTATTGCTATGATATTTGAAACACTGAAGCAAATTTTCAGCACAGAAACTTTTTTGTTCACTAACCCCCTGTAATTTATTCATTTTTTCCCAAGTGATAATTACGCTGAAATAGCATGTGCAGTGATTATTTAAATTACCGCAATTATGCCTCCTTTTAATCTACATTCGGCTTATTATAGATTGCGCCCTATTCTCTTGCTGCTTGCTTGGCAAAATTACTATTGTGCATTTCTGCCCATGGAAATCCAAATGTTATTACAAGTATATATAATTAATAGACAAATATGTAACTGGGGATATGCACTTCTATTCAAAAGTTTGGGGTCAGCAATTTTTTTTTTTTTTAAATAAATGTATACTTTTAAAAGGATGCATTAAATTGGCAGCATATTTTTCAAAAGATTTTTATTTTAAATAAATGCTTTTTTAAACTTTCTATTCATCAAAGAGTCTTGAAAATAATGTAAATATTAAGCAGCAAAACTTTATTCAGCATTGATAATTATAATAAAAAGTGTTTCTTGAGCAGCAAATCATGTTAGAATGATTTCTGAAGGGTCATGTGACACTGAGGGCTGGAGTAATGAAACTGAAAATTCAGCTTTACTATCACAGGAATAAATTACATTATAAAACATTTTCAAATAGAAAACAATTATTTTAAATGATAATAATATTTCAATGTTGATAATGCAACAACGGGGACGGCGTCTGCGAATATGCAATCAGTGTGAGTCTTAGTGGGACTTTTCCTCTTGTTCAGATGTGACCAAATCTCAGTTCATGTTGAAACTAGGTGAGAATAATTAATAATTTACCTTGAGAATAATCTTCCTCCACTCTGGCATGTAGCACTTTCCCTTGCCCAGTCTCTGTGTGAATGTATTCCTTTGCTGCCTTCTGCTTTATTTAGTCCTCCATCCCTAAAAACCCCACTCACCCCAGAGCCACTGTCAGGCTGCTGCCCTTCTATTGGACACTCTGCACATTCCACCCTGCACGATTGGCTGTGCACTCACTCACTGAGTCAAGTGTGTGATAGCTAATGTGCGTGATGGCAACTCTCAGCCTTAGCGACTGACCGAGAATCATTTTAATCATCTGATATTGATAATAATACCGGGAAGTGCTAAAGATGACAGTGGGAAAGTCTAGAAGTCAGACTTACTGACAGCATGGAATCTGTAAAACGTGTAAATTTCGGCAGAACTCGAATATCTGTCATTTAAAACATTTTTGCATATCCCCTGTTTGCAACTTATTAAATATTTTGGATAATTTGTTGTTGCTTTCAACTGCCAGTAAGTGTTCTCCTCTTTCTTTTCCATTTAAAACATTTTACTATACTTATAAATATTTAAATTCATTGCATGCTGCAGACTTCCCCTCACAAACGTTACAGGAATTGTGAGAAAGTGTGCAGATTCCATGCAGGCCGACTTTTGGGGTAATGCTGATGCAGGATTTAACTCATGGTCAGTTATAAATGACCTCAGGAGTGACTGTATGAAATGCAAAGCTGATTTTGGGTCAGTTGTTGAGGGCAGGGTGTGGCTTGTGCACAAGTGTGAGGTGGTCTAATGCGCATTGTAGTGTCTTCGAAGTGTAATGCAGTGGCTCCCTCCTGTGGCCAGGTGTTTTCCTGGGAGTTTTACTCAGGTACAGTCCTCGATCTTCCCACACAGCTTCCCACACATTAACCCTCCATGTCCTGAAAAATAACACACACCATTTCTTATAACAATACTGATAGAGGTGAAGTTTAGAGTTATGCTACAGGGGTTGCACTGGAGTTGAAACTACACTAGTCAACATTTGAAGTGGATCAAAACCTTTCATCAAAGTTGTCCTAAAACAAAATGTGTTCTTGTCTTAGGACAACTTTGATTAACTTTTTTGATCCACTTCAAATGTTGACTACTGTGGAAATTTCTGGGTTACTGGTTAGGTTATGACATTGTCTTTATTATTTCTATACAAATAAAAGTGCTTAAGAGTTTCAAGAGAGTAAATGTTGACTACAGAATTTCAACACTTCATTTTAAATTATGGTTGCACTTTTTGTCTTTCTTAATTCATAACGGTATTAAATGCACTATGAGGTTGGATTCTCCACTGAATGGAGAATAAATAAAATTTAACTATAATAACTTCTGTATATACAATAAATACACACTACCATTCAAATGTTTGGGTCAACAAGATTTGTATTTATTTTTTAGAAGAAAATACCTTTATTCAGCAAGGATGCATTCAGTTGAAAGTGACAGTAAAGACATTCAATGTTAAAAAAGATTTCCATAAAAAAAAAAAAAGTTTCAATTAATAAAAAAAAAATTTATTGGAAAAATGTAGTTTCCACAAAAAACATTATGAAGTGCAGCTGTTTCTTGAGCAGCAAATTGGCATATTAGAATGCTTTCTGGCTTTATCATGGTAGGAATAAATTACATTTTAAAATATATAGAAAATTGAAAACTGTATTTTTGTTCAAATAAATGCAGCCTTGGGTAAGATTAAGACTCTTCTTTTAAAAACATTACTGATTCAAAACCTTTGAATGGTAGTGAAAATACATAAACTATTAATCTTGATTGTTTTTTCTTGTCATGTAATAAATAATGAATTTAGATTCGTGACCTGCTTTCTTGACTCTGTCTCAGCCGGTTTAAGGAGAAGTTTCCGTTTAAGTCGGAAGGATCGTCGTGGTTCTTCAGGAGAGGCCAGTGTTTCTGACCAGAATGACACCGAATTCCTGACCTATGAAGAAGTGACACGCTACCAGCAGAAGCCCAATGAGAGACCCCGATTAGTAGTTCTCATTGGTAAGATACTGTATATATACTGTATAAAGCATAACATTACATCTACAGTTCAGTGTTTTTTATAGCCTACTGTGTAAATTGTGCATTGTGTAATTTTGTTGCAACAAACAACCCACTGATTAACTGAAATATAGTGTAAATATATAAATCGAAGGCACAGTGGTTGTCTAAGTCCTCACAATATTAGACAGTACAAATCATCAACAAAGCAATGACATTATGTCTTATTAGGCATAATTATAAATAAGACTTGCAACACTTGGCAGCTAGAACAATGAAACTAGCTGGTTTATGATGACAATTTCATCATACTTGTTAATTCCAGGAAATATGTGCCTAAAAATTTTGCCTAATTACCAAATCTGGTATTATCATTAAAGTGCTTAAAACATATCATTAAAAAAAACGAAACCAGAAATGCACAATACCTTCCATAAATAAATAAGTGCCTATAACTGATCTAAGATGTTTGCCAACCCGGTTCGTTGAATCCCACATTATGAAGATACACTGACCTCTAGTGGCAATAATGGTTCAGCTTCAGAATATATCTGCGATCTCAGTCATTTTCTGTAGTTTTTTCTTGTACACCGCACTTTAAGTAAATAAGCTACTATATATGTAATCATTTGAACTTGCTGCCTATCTTTACACAGGTTCTCTGGGAGCACGTATCAATGAGCTGAAGCAAAAAGTGATAGCAGAAAATCCCCATCGCTACGCTGTGGCTGTGCCCCGTAGGTCTTGCCTCATTTCCTAAGCAAAATAAAAGGAGCTTTCTGATAAATACACTAGCAGAATTACACACACGCAGTTCAGACCTTGAACACTGAAACTTTCCAGTGTTTCAGACTTCAGAAATGATCTGTGAACTTTAAAGTCACCACAAATTGTCATATTCTTGACATATGACACAAAATGTGAATTTCTGATGTATACTTCTGACCATTTTTTATATAATGAAAGTGAAGTAGGACTGGAGCTGGCAGGCTTAAAAAAAAAAAAAAAATACAAAAGCACATATAAACCACTTTATGTCTTTATCATTCTTGAACACTTGAAAGCTTCAGTCCATAATCACATGGAAGTCTTTGGAATTTTTCTTTTGTGTTTCACACAAAGAAAGTTACATACTGTAGGTTTATAGGTACACAGGGGTATATAAATCACCATCCCTTCAATCCATATGACATCTTTGGCTCTCTATTCTCCATCACAGACACCACACGGCCCAAAAAGAGCCACGAGAAGGAGGGAGTGGAGTACCACTTTGTGACTAAACAGGTGTTTGATGCAGATGCACAGAATGACAAGTGAGTCCCACTGTAATGTGTTCCTCTTGTACTGCTTCTCTTCTACTACACAAGTTTTATCCAGCCAATATATTGCCCTATTGTCATACCCTGACTTGAATCGTTTGTCTGTAGATTTATAGAGTATGGGGAGTATAAAGAGAATCTGTATGGGACCAGTATAGAGGCCATCCGCTCTGTTCAAGCCAAGAACAAGATGTGTCTGGTAGATGTACAGCCCGAGGTAAATTACAGCAGATTTTGCCCAGGGTGTTGATTCAAGAATTACTGTAAACACTCTCATTTATAACTTACATGAAAACAGCAAACTATTCTTTTGAATTATGCACAAAAGCAAATGTCTGATGTTTTTTTTTTGTTTTAGTTTTATTTGCAATTTTTTATGCATCACTTACAATGCATAGCTAAAAGGAAGTCGTTCTCCAGTGCTGATATGTACTGACAAGTTTCACCTTCAGGTGGAGCTACTTGTCTATTGCAACAAGAATATTAGTTGTGCAAGACCACATGCAGTACTTTACCCCCAATGGCAAGAATCCTTCTTATGATCATGGGAGGCAATTTACCTAACACTTGCTCTCATACATTTTTAATGTGAGATTTTACTGCTACTGGCTTAAACTGAACTTAAAGTTTATCAGGGCATACAGACATCGTTTATTTATTATGTGATTCTGTAGGTGCACTTGTAAAGTTCATTGCAACTGGGTTAAGACTATTTAAGAGAAAAACTCTTTGTGAAACCCTATAGATTATATGTTTTTAATGTCAAACCTCATTATGAAGAAAAGGTTATGAAAGAGTCAGAACAAAAGATAGGATGATAGGCTGATTTGGTGCTCAAGAAGCATTTCTTATTATCACTGGTGAAATTATCGACAACTCTTGGTTCTTAATATTTTTTTGTGGAAACTGATTCTTTTGTTCAGGATTCTTTGATTAATAGAAACCAAATAGAATAGAAAGCAATTAAAAATAGAACAAAACAACAGCGTTTCTTTAAAATAGAAATCTTTTTTAACATTGTAAATGACTAAAATTATTTTTGATCACTGATTTAATGCGTTCTTGCTGAATAAGAGTATTTATTTCTTACTTACCTCAAATTTGAACAGCAGTGTAGGTAGATAGTGTCATTTACCTCTCCACATTACTGGTTCTGTTGTTTGTCCCGCTACAGGCTCTGAAGGCCCTACGGACAGCTGAATTTAAGCCTTATGTCATTTTCGTAAAACCACGAATCCCAGAGAGTCGCAGACGCCGCAGTGCCGCCACTTCGCCAGGAGGAGGTGAACATGGGCGAATAACAGTGAGTCTGATCACAGGTTTACATCGCTCGGCTCTCAAGAAAGCCCGTGTCACTGATCAATGACAATTCTTCCAGCCTCTCAAAAAATCAGCCTTGAAATTGTGTCATTTCATAATAATTGGAATAAAATTGCAGAGACTGTCTGGCTTTAAAAATCATCTTAAGGTTTGTCTCACTTGCAAAATTTATGGGAAAATCACAGAATCTACAGACACAGTATCGCTAGCTTGATTGCTATATATTTTTGCACACATCTACTGACATCTCTTTCATTTCATTCTCACTATAAATATTCATGCCCTACTACACTCTCTCATCTCCTCATCTTTCAGGAGGAGGACCTGCAGGAAATGCATCTGTCGGCGCAGCAGACAGATCAACAGTACGGTCACCTAGTGGATCGGGTCCTGATTAAAGAGGACACTGCCAGTGCCTGCGCAGAACTACGTAGCATCCTGGAGAGACTGGAGCGGGAGACCTTCTGGGTTCCTGTGAGCTGGGCCAAAGCCTAGGACCTCAGCTTTCTTTTCAGACTGTTGACCTACATTTCCTCCGATAGCTTCTTTTCTTCCGGTTGGACTGCACTGGGCTTGGCTTCTTTAAACGGTCCACCATCTTTAAGAGGAGGCATAAAGAGACCAAATAAGACACTTGAAGGGTGTCTGTCTTATTACAGATTTGGTTTTCAGGCTGAGACATGCAGGAACATAAGCACTTATTTTGGCATGAATGATCTCATTTATTCTTGAAAGACATTAGGTATTTATTATTTGGCTTGTTATTTCATGACGTTTGTTTTTTTGATATTTTGTGGCTTCCTTTCAGGTTATTTAAAGAGTTTCAATAGACTGTTCACTAAAGCAATACTTCCGGTGTCAGATTATATTATCAGAAAGGCATTGACCTTTGGTATTAAAAGGCTGTGGAAAGTGGTTACCATAGCAACAGCATTGTTCTTCCTGAATTGCACATCTGGCCAGAGCAAGTGGGAAATTTGCAGGTTGGACTGTAAATTTTTCACCAATGCACATCAAGCTGTTCCCACGCACACCCATGCAGAGACTCGTTTAGCAACCGTAACGACTTCAGTTTGAGATTATTTGAAGTTTTAATTTCATCAAGTGTTGCCTGTCGGACTTTGTTGTGTAATTTAATCACAGAAATCAAGTTCTTTTTTGAAGAGCACGATTGATCAACGTTTTCACAGGAAAATATTAAACTCCTGCTGTGCCAACGACTGTCTCAATGCACCAAGCTTTTCCTCTCAAAGAGGTTCTTCATTCGGAGGGTTACAAAACACCATGCCAAAGCACTTGAGCTTCACAATATCTATGTAAATATGTAACTAAGCTTCCTGGAGTTTAGGTTTGTTGGGTGTAGATGAACTGAGACAGTGTTGAGTTGAGACAATAACACCCAGGTCCCTTATTTTTTGGTTGTAAAGGTCTATGCGACAGTTCGGAGTGCATATGTTACATCTGCATCATGAGCTCATGCATCTTTTGCCATTTAACTTTCACATTTCACATCTCTCTAGAACTTTCTACCATTTCCCAACATATCATACAAATCCTCTTGATCCTACCTCACCTTTGAACTGAAATCTGTCGCCTTTGTTGTAAGCTGCAATTATTCTGTGTAAATTCGTAATTGTATGTCATGTACTGATTGCAAATAAATATCAACACCTATCAAAATGTTGCCTGTATTGAATGTGTGCAAATGTTAGTATTTTGACAAACGCTGCCTCTTATTATACATTTTGTCTGTTGCGTTCAGATTGAAATGACAGTAAGCAGTACTGCAGGTTTTTTTTTTTTTCTGTCAGCCACTCTATGGTTTTCAGGCTGAGACATGCAGGAACATAAGCACTTATTTTGGCATGAATGATCTCATTTATTCTTGAAAGACATTAGGTATTTATTATTTGGCTTATTTCATGACGTTTGTTTTTTTGATACTTTGTGGCTTCCTTTCAGGTTATTTAAAGAGTTTCAATAGACTGTTCACTAAAGCAATACTTCCAGTGTCAGATTATATTATCAGAAAGGCATTGACCTTTGGTATTAAAAGGCTGTGGAAAGTGGTTACCATAGCAACAGCATTGTTCTTCCTGAATTGCACATCTGGCCAGAGCAAGTGGGAAATTTGCAGGTTGGACTGTAAATTTTTCACCAATGCACATCAAGCTGTTCCCACGCACACCCATGCAGAGACTCGTTTAGCAACCGTAACGCCTTCAGTTTGAGATTATTTGAAGTTTTAATTTAATCAAGTGTTGCCTGTCGGACTTTGTTGTGTAATTTAATCACAGAAATCAAGTTCTTTTTGAAGAGCACGATTGATCAACGTTTTCACAGGAAAATATTAAACTCCTGCTGTGCCAACGACTGTCTCAGTGCACCAAGCCTTTCCTCTCAAAGAGGTTCTTCATTCGGAGGGTTACAAAACACCATGCCAAAGCACTTGAGCTTCACAATATCTATGTAAATATGTAACTAAGCTTCCTGGAGTTTAGGTTTGTTGGGTGTAGATGAACTGAGACAGTGTTGAGTTGAGACAATAACACCCAGGTCCCTTATTTTTTGGTTGTAAAGGTCTATGCGACAGTTCGGAGTGCATATGTTACATCTGCATCATGAGCTCATGCATCTTTTGCCATTTAACTTTCACATTTCACATCTCTCTAGAACTTTCTACCATTTCCCAACATATCATACAAATCCTCTTGATCCTACCTCACCTTTGAACTGAAATCTGTCGCCTTTGTTGTAAGCTGCAATTATTCGGTGTAAATTCGTAATTGTATGTCATGTACTGATTGCAAATAAATATCAACACCTATCAAAATGTTGCCTGTATTGAATGTGTGCAAATGTTAGTATTTTGACAAACGCTGCCTCTTATTATACATTTTGTCTGTTGCGTTCAGATTGAAATGACAGTAAGCAGTACTGCAGGTTTTTTTTTTTTTCTGTCAGCCACTCTATTGCACATTAACATTATGAATATATTCTTTGCTGCGGGCAATCAAACCAGAGACTGTTATCCCATTTCCGAGCTCTACAGGCTATTGTTTTTTCTGTTTCATGACAGTTTGACAGCTGCCGTCTTAAAACAGAACTGCAATAAACAATGTTAGATTTGTCAAATCTGAGGCGTCCACAACACTCCGATGAATTATTTCTCCTAATATGCGGGCAAAAAGGTATACGCATCAATCAGACAGTGTCCTAACTCTGCCAAATTCAATCTGGAAGTCATGAAAAGCTGAAGAAAACAGCTAAACAGCACATTCCCTCAGTGGAGTCATCCTTTTAATCCATCAATGAAAGTCAAGCGTCCAATCAAACAACCCACTGGCAGAGACCTCTTAGTGTCAAACTTGCTTATTCGTTAGTAGATCATGGTCTTTAATTGGAAAATGGACAGAAGGCCTGGACTCCGCTATCTTCTGCCAGCTTTATTTCACAGGTCTCTGAGCAGTGGCATATTTGTGTGATAGACTTCCATCCTCCTAATTGGGCTGAGAGGGAGGGGATGTGATGCTTGCTAATTGACATTTGTTTGATTGTGTGGGAAGAACTGGTATTTGTTTGGTGGCAGAAAGATCCTTTGAAGCAATCCCGTCAGTCTCGTTCTCTCTCTCGAGCAATTAAGTTCTGGAACATTTTGCTTGCCCTATAAGACAGATGGGAAGAAGAAGAAAAAACAATTAAAATGGGTAGCAATTGATCTCATTAGTATGGAAGTCTTGGCAGAGGCGTGGATTTCTATTACCGGCACAGAATCATAATATCATAAACACAACATTTTTAGAAGAAGCTGAAAAACGAAGCTGAAGCAAACAACACGTACAGTGTGATTAACTTCTGCGAAATATTGCTATACTGAAAAAAAATGAAATGGAGATTCATCTCTTGGAGGAAACAATATTCTCATTAAGTGGTTTATTCATTTATCTGAGTCTTTTGTGTAGCATGTGTCTGACAGCATGGTGATTTACACTGCATTGTGTTGTGTATCATTAGGGGCATTGCTAATAACGCTGCTGAAGGCCAACATCAATAACTTTTATTATCTTTGTTATCATGGCCCACGTTTATGTTCATTGAATGTCATGACAGCAGCTGATACTGCAAATATTCACATGGAGAGATTTACTATGGATGCCTGTTTCCATCATCATATAAAAAGGTAATTGCAACTTTTTATCTTACAATTCAAACTTTATTCTCGCAGTTCTGAGTTTATATCTCAGAATTCTGATTTGCTTCTTGCAATACTGAGAAAAAAGAATTTTGAGATGTTAACATACAAATGTGAGTTTATAACTTGCAATTACAAGACATAAACTGGCAATTCTGAGAAAAAGTCAAAATTGTGAGATAGAAAGTTGCAATTACCTTTTTCATTTTTATTCCACAATTGCAATGTAAACTTCTGAGGGTGAAAAAAAAAATGCAGAATTGAGATATAAACTCAAAATCGCAAAGAAATGTCAAAATTGTGAGACAAACAAACTAAAAAAGTCTGAATTATGAGATAAAAAGTCAGAATTGCCAGAAAAAAAGTCAGACTTGTGAGACAAAGTCAGAATTTAAAAAGTCAGAATTGTGAGAAACAAAGTCAGAATTAAGAGATTTAAACTCAGAATTAAAAAAAAGTCTGAATTGTGAGATATAAACTCAGAATGGCAAGAAAAGTCTGAATTGTGAGATATAAACTCAGAATGGCAAGAAAAGTCAGAATTGTGTGACAAACTCAGAATACAAAAAAAAATGTCACAATTACCTTTTTGTATTTTTATCCAGTGGTGCACTCAATTGTGAGATATAAACTCAGAATGGCAAGAAAAGTCAGAATTGTGTGACAAACTCAGAATACAAAAAAAAATGTCACAATTACCTTTTTGTATTTTTATCCAGTGGTGCACTCTGGAATATCAGCCTTTGCAGTTTTGCTTTGCTGTTCAGACTCCAAACTCTGGGGTTGTGTAAGGATTTCCAGTATATAGCAGTAATTTAAAATGTTCCACAAGCATCCCGAGGCTTGATTATCTGCCTGTTACGTCAGACATGCCGTTATGTCTGTTTATGAAAACAGCACTGCTGGCATTATAACTTGTTCAAACTTAATGAGTATACTGTACTGTCCGAAAAAATGTGCAAAATTTGTACCTTTAGAGGTACGACAGCTTGTCACTGTAGCCTAAAGGGTACATTAGTACCTTAACATGTACTATAAGCACAACGAATCTTTGAGCATACTGCCCCGCTGACAAGCTGTTGTACCCCTAAAGGTGTCATTTTTGTACAGTTATTTTCTTGACAGCAAACTTTTTTTGCAGGTATGATGCAGAATTATCTTATTTTCTAGTTTCTAACTCAAAGCCAACAGAATATCTGCAAAAATCTATGCAAAGTGACCTATGCAGAGGCTGAGGATTGCATCGATTTCACAAACAAACTTAAGTCTTTGGCATGAATTCTGTTTGGCTCATCAAAACGAAAATTTATGAAAAAGCATGCATGATTATTCTTTTTATAAATAAACCATCAGATCCTGCTAGTAGTTGTCTGTTTTGCATCACTTTTGCTAGTTTAATTATGGTGGTGTGTTACGTCCACATGCAATGCTTTGCAAAACACAGGAAGGCACATAATGGGTAATTAGTTTCATTAGAGTTCTTATTACTAAACAATGACACACATCAATCCATGTAGGTTTGTGGGGAAGCTGGAGCCTATTCCAGCATCTTTGGCCGTAAACAGGGAAACATGGCCA